TTAACAGCGTGAACCAGAGTAGGCCTGGCATTGTCAGAATAGTAACCCACTGGATGTCAGCTCACCACGTAAGCACCTTCCTGTCTGGAGAGTAGCTATGTAAACACATCCCCCCCTGTAGGAGAATAAGGGGACAATGACAGGAGAATGGATAAGGATGTTTTGTTCAAACTAGCAGGTAGGAGGGTTAGGGGGGTTGCTAACTACATCTTGAGTGTAATAGGTAACTTGTTTGGATCAGTGGCTAAAAGAAGCAGTCACAGGAGGGGTATCTTTGTGCTGGTCTAGGGGACAGAATCCTGGGGTGCTGTTTGAACCACTACCATTGCCGTGGGCCGACATGCGTTGGTGTACCCGGAGCACCTATGGCGAACTAGAACTGTGCTTCGTTGGCTGTAAACCTGCCCTAGCGTTTTTGCTGCTGACCCGAGTCTGGGCCTTTCTTTATGAGTGACTTGGAGGTCTGCCGAGTCAGTGAGCTGCGTCCTCTGTGTGTGCAGCTCGCACCGGACCGCCAAGGGCCGCAGCCTCAACCCTCAGCAGCGAGTTATCAGGCAAAATCCACCCGCACTTGTGGAAACCAGCACCAGCATGCAACGCCATTGCCTGAAACTCACGCCCATGGAATCAGAGCTACAATTCCTTCCCCTCACCCTGCTGGGCAACACTCACCATGACTGGGGCTGGAGAGCAGGGCTGTGCCGAGGCTCTCCAAGTGTTTATAAGAATAAGGGATGAGAGTTACAAAACTTGTTTTTCCCTTTCCGGTGTCACTGTAAATCCAGTGTCATCCCCCGTCCCCCCTATCAGCACCTGTTGCTATTGCAGCCTTGAAGGGTGCCCCATCCACACCCACAGATCCCCTGACCCTGTCGAGCAGAAAGAGGACTGGGGGGGACACGTTGTGCAAATCCTGCATGCTGGTGCTGCATTGTCCTGTGACTAAAGGGCCTGAAGAAGGAAAGAGGAGACAGGAGAGAGGCTCAGGACAAGGAGAGGGAGGTGCACTGGGACGTAATGGGTCTTCGCAGGCAGCAAACCCAAATGTAGCTGACCCATGTTGACCTTCAGGTCCAAAAATCCGCCTGACCACCCTTTGCAGTCCTCGGAGCACTCCACAGTAGCAGTTCCCTACATCCCCTAACGCACCCCATGGCATCCCAGGCTGCAGTCCTGCCTCTGTCATTCCATGCCATGGGACAGCAAGGAAAACCACAGCTCCACGTGCACTGACCTGTGAGAACCACAGCTGGTGTACACGTAGCCACAACAGACTACACCTGAGCACTGAAGTGGACAGAAATGTTTGCCGTCTTTCCAGTTGCAGAGTCCCCTCTTGTTACTTTGTTTAAAGTTTGTCTTGCTTTCCTGCTGTTTTTTGATGCACATTGTTTGTTGCCACTCAAATTGCTATTTTTAGAGAATAAAATTCTTTATTAGTTCACAGCGGACTGCCTCGTGGTACTCCAAGCACGCGGTACTTGTAAATGTACTTCAAGCACTACACTGTTCCAACAGCACCCAAACCTCCAGGCCCTGAGAACGATCGAGCACAGAACACTACTGTGACTGGCCGTCCTTCAACAGTACAGCTCCACACTGAGCGCTTGCAATGGTCCTTATGTCTGACTGTTCAGAGTCAGCAGACTCGCATGCAGCCCCAGCAGGCAGCAGGTTTGTCACTGAGATCTCCTGCAGTGAGTCAACAGCACCAGCAGCCCTTCTGCTGACCCAAAGCCCTGTCGACAGTCCTCCTGCACCAGCTGAGCTGGTAGCTGAATCTTTCCCTGGTGCTGCTGAGGTGGCTAGTGTGCAGCTTCCTCTAAGCAGGGGGGTAGGCTGGGTTCCCCAGAGTTGCTATTGGCATTTCAATACCACCACTGGTAATCTGTTGGTCCGGAAAGGAAGTCCATACATTCAGCTTTCTGAACAGTCCTGTGTTCTTAAAGATGCAAGCGTCATGCATGGTCACTGACCAGCCCACAGAGCTGTCAGAAGTGTCCATGGTGATCCACCCCAGCTCGCGTGACCATAGAAAAGTAGCCCTTTCTGTTGACATACTGTTGGCCACCTATTGCCCCATCCCCTATGTCCTGAACATTGCCAAAAGTCCCTGTCCTGCATAGCAGGAGACCATTAATGGCCCTGCACAGTTGCAGGACAACAGCCCTTACTGTGTATTTTCCACATCCCAAATGATTTCTCAGTGACTCGTAGCAGTCTGGCATTGCCTGCTTCCAGATCGCCACTCGCTTTGCAGCTGTCAGTGCAGCCTTCGTTCTGGTGCCCTTGTGCTGGAGGGCTGGGCAGAGTGCCCCACAGATCCAGGAGTGCGGGGGCCCGGGGCCTCTGAAAGTCCTGCAGCCACTGCTCATTGTCCCAAGCGTGCATTACGATGAATGCCGTCCGTTAGTGCCTGCTTCTCGGGCCCAGAAGCAGTACTCCCCTGTCTGCAGCTGCTCCGTGAATGTCCCCAATAGCCTTGATCTGATTTGCATTATAGCCCTTAGCAAAGTGCCCTTGGAGAAGCCCTTGTGTTGCCTGTTAATCACAGGAATGTCGTGCGCCCTGTGTGTGCAGCGTCCATGAGAACGGGGCAGAGCTGGGTGGGCTCCGTGCTTCTGTCAGAGGCTGCAGACGCCAAAGAGTGCTGCGTGGGGTTTTTACAAAGTGCCAACCTGTGCGGGGCTATGGATGGCGTATGGGGCTAGAGAATGTTGCCTGCTGGGAACCTGACCCTGGGCTCCCGCTGATCCCGGGGCTAGTCATCTCTGTCCCACAGCGCCCTGGGATGCCGCAGCGCCTGGTGCACGGTGTCTCGACGCGAGCGCTCCTGGCGAGTATACAGCACCAACGCAAGCGGCCAAGTGTGTGCACAGGCTTCGGCAGCTGTATGCTGATGAGACGTGCTTCGCTCAGTTTGTAGTGCGGCCATGTGAGCACTGGGAACCGTGACAAGGATCAAGTCAATTTCACTTCTTCCACCCCTCAGCCGCAGGGCGCCAGGGAGGCTGAGATGTACCAGAGTCCTACTCAGAGGCTGGTAGAGGAGATGCAGCGTTCAGCACCCTGGAGGGAACGGGGGTGAGCTGTACCCACCCCTCGTTAGGGGACCTCCCACCATGTTTCTTAATGCCTCTGGTTTTCAGGGTTACTCCTGTGACGATAGGTGTTTGAGCTCAGGGTCGGGGGTTCTGGAGTCGGTGCCCTGCTCTGCCAGTGACTCACTGTTTAGCCTTGGAAAAATTGCTCCCCCCAAGCTGACCTGATAGGCTGAAAGGGTTAGTCAGTGTTTGTCCAGGGCTGTGAACCTGTGCAGTGAGAGGCAGGATTGCCCAGTGGTTAGGACGCTCCCCTGGGACTTGGGGCATCTGCATCCAATTCCCTGCCCTGCAACAGACTGCCTATGGGACCTGGGGCAAGTCCTTTAGCCTCCGTGGGCCTCTGTGCAATGGTGCTACCAGCCCTGCCCTGCCTCCTGGGGGCGTTGGAAGGGGCAATATGCTGTGACTGTGAACTACTCAGCGGCTGGGGGCTGGTGGGTATCGGCGAGGTAAAAGGAAGGGTTGTGGAGGCGCTAAGTGTCAGCAGAGAGAAAACATCCCAGTTTGCTCAGCTTGTGTCTGTTTGCCAAGGCCAGGAGCATTGTGGATATTTCAAATCAATGCTGTGATGCTCTGCCCGATTTACTTACGGGAAATCGGTGCTGCCAGCCTGACCTGAGTGAGCAGGAACAGCGAGCAGCATGGGGGTGGCCTGCAGATGAACGAGCACCTAAAGAACTCCGCTTCCAGTTTCGGGAGGCTTGTCGGCAGACGTGGGACTCAAACGCTTCTGGGGGGGGGGAGTTGCCCCTCTTATTTTTGTGGTTTTTCAAGTGATTTTCTCTCCTCTGTTGCTGTTTGAGGGCTCCCACAACTGCAGGGGAAACTGATTTACGCAGGGTAGCAACTCCATGCCCGTGAGAACTGTCCGATTGTTCGTGTCTGTAAACGTCTGCAGGGCCTGCCCAGAGGAACGATGATGCACACGCAGGGCTGGCAAATGCCCAAGCTGGAAAAAACAGAGACAAATGGTTATGTTTAAGCTCCCTAGTAAGGGGTCCTCTTGCCACAGTGGCAGGTGAGGAATGTTCCTGATTGAAGTGATGGCTCATTTGAGAGTGTTCTTTTGACCACAGCATCTCCCAGGATCTTGCTGTATCTCTGTCCACTGGCTGAGAGTTTTCAGGTGGATATGTGTAACGGCTTGGAAGCTGTTACTGCTGATCCAAAATGACCAGCCTGTGGTTGCAATACAGATGCCCCTGTGGCCAGTTAAACCCCCCTTATGGGATGTCTTCTGATATACTGGGATTTCACTGAGCCCACCTGCTCCACTAGCCTGGGCTCTATCTCCCTGTTTTGCTGAATCAGGCTCTCTGGCCGCACACACACACAGGTAGGGAGCACTAGCTGTAGAATCACACAGAAGCTGCAAACAGCTCTCTGTGAGATAAGTGCTGGGCAATTTCCCAGCTGAACCAAGTGCAGCTTCCCTCTGGAAAGTACACCCAAGATAATATTGTCTTGCGCTGTATAGAAAGATCTGCACAGCGCAAGCTCATAAAAATTCACCGTTTCCCTCAATGTGAAGAGAGATGTGCACAGCTTCTTGCCCCCCCCCCCAGTTATAAATTGCACAAACTTTTGTCTTTTTGGGGGGGGGGGGAATTTAGCATCTCTGAACGACAAAAGTTTTGTCACACAATTGCCTGTGTACACACCCATTGTAATTGTTACATAGTCAATATTCCTAACTGCAGATACAGAAATGATCCGGGCACACAAATTGGATAATTGCATTCAGGAAATCATAACCTTTCCAATGAGACCTTACAAGACCCATCTTGCATATTCACATCATAACCATATTTCTATGAAGAATTTGGGGTGTAAGACCTTGCTGTTTGCATAGGGTGGGGTAGATCTAATGCACCCTTTCGCGTGTTTCTCTTTCAGATAGTCCCTGGTCCAGCTCAGTGCTCCCTAGAAAGATGGAGATGGCAGAAGAAGAAGGTAGGGGCTGGAACGTGACTGACAAAGTGGGTTTGGCGTGGTTTTAGGTTCGTTGCTGTGCAGAGAAACTCCGGTAACTTATTCCTGCTGCGGTTCGCCAGGCGACTGCACCATTGGAGGGAGCTTTTAGCATGTTGGTAAATCTGGAGGTGACTCGTTTGCTTCATTTGGTTTTGATCCCCCCGCTAGCCCCCTAACACGACTCTCTCCAGCTGCAAGCGTGTCTGCAATCTCATCATGGCTGTCCTTGTACCCAGAAAGGGGCAGGCCCGGCCCGGTAACCTGACTGAGGGGCGGTTTGGGGCTGCCTGAGAGACTCAGGACAAACATGAGTGGCACCAAACTGAGAGAACAGGCTACTGGGAAATCAGATTGATGGGCATCTTTGATTTAAAACCTCCAGGTATGTGAGGGTCCCCTGACAGCGACCAACTCTGGGATCACTGTGCAGCACTACTGCACGCTACCAGCCAAGGTGTCATGATTCTGGACTTGATCCTGGTCTCTCCTCAGTGGAATGCTATTGCCTTTGATACCATCGCTCCTGGTTTACACTGGTGCAAGTGGGAGCAGAATCAGGGTCCTGCGGAAAGCGGGGTTCAGTTCCCAGCTCTGCACAGACAAGTCACCGAGGGCTGGTGGTGTAATTGTAGGGGGTCCTGACCCAAAAAGGAGTTGTGTGGGGGAGAGGGCGGGGGAGTCACAAGGTAATTGTAGGGTGGGTTGCAGTTCTGCTACCCTCGCTTCTGCAGCGTCTTCAGAGCTGGACAGCCAGAGGGCGGCAGCTGCCCCCTCCCTGTCCTCTACCTTGACTCCAAGATCTTTCTTGAGCGCTGACATCATTTTGAACGTAGACCTGGGATTCTGGTTTCCGATCTGCATTGCTTTGTATTTAACAACACTGGATTTCATTGGCCATTTTGTTTTCCAGCCATCCAGTTTAGTGAGAGCCTAAGTTCCCCCTAAGCCGTGCGGCCATGCAGCAGCCTATGAAGCGTTGCTCAGGCTGCGGCAGGGAGAGGTGTCCCTCCCCTGACGCCAACCCAGCTCTGGGCCTGCTGCAGCTGGGGCAGAGGCACCCAAACCCAGCCAGGTGTCCCAACCCCGGCCTGGATCTGTGCGGCTGGGTGAGAGGCGCCTATCCCGCGGCCCCAGCCCAGGTGCAGCTGCTGGGAGAGAGAGCGGGAGGGCCTCTCTTCCTGCCGTAGCCCCGGGTCAGCCTGCACCCCAAACCCCTCATCTCCAGCCCCACCCTGGAGCCCGCACCCCCGCCGCAGCCCTCGCCCCCCTGCATCCCAACCCTCTGCCTGAGCCCCTCATCCCCAGCCCTGAGCCCCCTCCCACACTTCGAACCCCTTGGCCCCACCCCCGCCACATGGATTTGGTTATGCGCACCAATATGGAGGTGATGTGTCCCATGTCACCGCCATAGTGGTGCACATAACAAAATTCATTCCCCACACGGACATAAATTAGAGGGAACACTGGGGAGAACCCTTTGTAACTCTTCGCTGTCAGCTTTAAACTAGCAATTTTGTATCATCTGCAAATTTTGCCACCTCATTGTTTATGCCTTTTTCCAGATCATTTATGAATATGTTGAATAGGACTGGTCCCAGAGCAGACCCCTGGGGGACACCACTATTCACCTCTCTCCATTCTGAAAACTGACCATGTATTCCTATCCTTTGTTTCCTATCTTTTAACCAGTTACCCATCCATGAGAGGACCTTCCCTCTTATCCCATGACAGCTGACTTTGCTTAAGAGCCTTTGGTGAGGGACCTTGTCAAAGGCTTTCTGAAAATACAAGTACCCCGGAACCCCTTGTCCATGTTTGTTGACCTCCTCAAAGAATTCTAGTAGATTGGTGAGGCATGATTTCCCTTTACTGAAACCACGTTGACTCTTCCCCCAACATATTGTGTTCATCTTGTGTCTGATAATTCAGCTCTTTACTATAGTTTCAACCAATTACCAATGAATAATGGATCAATATTTCTTTCCAGATATAAAATTTATCACCGATGAGAAGTTTGACTTTGGTCTGTCTTCTCCTTCAGACAGGTAAGATTGAAGGGCCAGAACCTCAGCTGGTGTCGGGCAACCTGGCAGTGAAGCCAACAGCTGAATTACACCAGCTGAGGGTCTGGCCCAATATCCATTTCCCTTAAAGGTTTCTGTCGTTGTGTGCATTGAAGGGCCCTCCCAGGTTTCTGATCACGCCGATGGTGTGGCGTGAAAGCCTTCTGGGAGGGCAGAGCTCTGTGACGCATTAGTCCATGTCCCTCCTGCCTCACTCCGCGCTGGCAGGTGTTGGGCCTTGTGGCTCTGGGAACCTGCGACGGGAGGAGCGAGAAAACCAGGCTTGTGGTGCTTCAGCCTTAACTTGCCAAAAAAGCTAGGTCCAGCCCCGCAGATCATTCAGCCACAAGCATCCCTCTGGGCCGGCTGCTCCCGGGCGCGGAGCCTGTTAACGCAGAAGCAGGCCTCCAGTCTTCGGGGGGCCAGTCGTGGCCAACAGTTGCTGGATGAGGCCCTTGAGTGGTAGATCTGGTTGGCCTCTGCAGAGCCGTAAACGTGCCAGGTCAGATACATACGAAGGGCAGGGCAAATCCCTCCCCAAGGCGGGTCAGCCAGGTTCTGACTGACTCAGTTAGTAACCAAGGTGCAGCTGGAAAGACAAAATACTTCCCTGCCTCTGGCTGTAGCATGAGCCATGTGGAGCTGGGCACTCTCTGCTCCATCCAGGCTCTGGTAACCGTGGCTTTGCCCCCACAGCCGGGAGGAGGAGGTCCAGCATGTCGAGAGGGGCGTGGCACAAGGGCTCGACCTGAACATGCAGCAGAGGGAGGACACGGGCCGGAGCAGAGAGTGCCTGGCCCGCTGGAGCCCACTGAGTGCTGAGAAGCTGGAGGAGATCGTGAAGGAGGCCAACTGGCTGGCCGTGCAGCTGGAGAGGTGCAGCCTGCGGGAGAAGGAGAATGCCAGGGCCGGGCTGCTGGGAGACACAGCGCTGGGCCCAGCGGGGGAGCCCCTTGTGTCCATGCGGCTCCCGCACAAGGAGCGGGCGAGCCCCCGGAGCCCCCGGCGCGAGACCTTTGTGGTGAAGAACAGCCCCGTCAGGGCGCTGCTGCCCACCGTGGAGCCAGGGACGCTCCTCCCCCCGGGGAAAAGCCCCTCGCCATGTGCCAGAGCAGCACCGACTCCCCCCCGCCTCCGACACAAGCTGGGCAGCTGCTCCGCTGGCAGCGAACGGCTCCGTAAGAAATCCACCCCCAGCAAGGGCCCCGCTCTGTCTCCCACAAAGAGAACCGAGAAGGTAGATGGGCCCCTGAGAGGGGGAGGTGCTGGGGGGCCTGCGCGGGGCTCTATCTTCCATGGCCAGCTCTGGCGGGGGTTAGTCTGGAACCCAGCCTCCTGCCCCCCCTCCCCCTTTCCTGCCAGAAGGGGGAAGGAGCATTCTCCCCTATCCACCACGAACCACCTGATCTGCTGCTCCGTGTCTGGGTCCGGTGCTGCTCTGGTGCTGCACAGCGCTCCTGCCAGGACCCAATGCTTGTAAATTTCTCTGCTGTCCAGGTTCCCAGTAGCAGCCATGAAACTGACCGGAGGGGTCTACTTTCAGAGGGCAGGTGCCTGCAAAGAGCTTTGAGCAGCAGCGCCCCGTCTGTCTGCAGACTCAGGCAGGCAACGCTGCACCCAGGTCATGTGAGGGAGGTTTGGCCTTCCAAGCATAAGATCAAGAAACTCTGGTTCAACAAATGAAAATTTGAATTCTGCCTAAACAATTGGCTTTGGCCCAGCCCTTCCCGGAGGGAGAGCTCCCGTTTGCCCGTGGCAAGTCACAACTTTCGCGCTGTGCAAACTGCTGTCAGCTTTCCCTCCTGTAAAGTGGAACCAGCCCCCCAGCATGAAACGTTCACTTCTCGGTGTCCTCAGGTTGGGGTGCCCCCTGCTGGCCCTGGGGCTGAACTGGGGCATCCCATGCAGGAGCTGGGCTCGTGGCAGAGCCTCTGGGGGACCTGTTTGAATGGTGCAGGCAGCAGGTGCTAACGCGCAGGGACCCGTGTGGGGCATCGGGTGTGGGCTCTCCTGAGGCCCTGGGCTCACATCGCTGCTGGGCTGTCGGGATTCCCAAGCTGAGTGGGGCTGGGCCAGGTCAGCACAGGGGTGCGGGACCTCTCAGGAGCACCGAGGGGCTGCAGGAAGGTGGATTCTGGCATCTGAGTCAGTGTGAGGCTAGAGGGCGCTGTGCTGCGGGGGGGGCTCAGTAGGGGGCGCTCTCTCCTATGCCCCTAAGGGACGCAGCTCAGTGGGAGGCTATCTCCCCTTGCAGTCAGTGCTGACCCCAATGCCCCAGCCTGGTGCCAGGGGCCCTGTGCTGCTACACGGGGCTGTCGTTCAGATGGGATCTAACCTGCAGCCTGGCGCCAGGAGCGGGACCTCCAGCACCCCGCACAGATGGCAGCGGGGGACGCTTGTTGTTGTGTGCTGCCTCCTGACCTCCCACAGAGCTACAGCTGGAGACCATACTCTCCCTCCCCCGTCTGCTGCGGAGCCTTGTCCTGCACCCCCCCGGGGGCCGCCCGACCCCCAGGTTATTGCTCTGTCAGTGTGAAGACTCAGGCTCCGGTCAGGGAGAGGCAGGTGTGCTGATCTCCGCTGTACAGTGCGGCCCAGGCTTCACCTCCCTTTATCCCTCTTGCCGCACTAGCTGAGCCTCCAGGACCGGCCGCCCAGCTGTGCATCACCTGCCCGGGGAAGGAGAGAACCAATGGGCCCCAGGCCATCTCCCTCCCAGCCCCGCCCTGCCCAAGAGCCCTCGACACCCTGCAGGAGAGCGGAGCCCCTCCAGGAAGCAAGTGCAGGTAACCGGGCTTGCGAGCAGACTGCTGAGCATGGGGGTCGGGGGCTGATCCTGCTCGCTTCACCTCATCTGTGGGGGGATCCAGGGGTCTGCATCCCCTGTGTGCCACCGAGCCCTGCACCGTACAGCCCGTAGTGGGCACTGGGGGCAGCGTGGCCCCACGCAGAGGAGCAGGGGCTGCTCCTCCCAGGTTCAGCTGTAGCCCATCGGCTTTGCTGCCCGTCTCCTTGTGGGGGAGGATTCGGGATCCCAGTGTGTAGACGTCCCAGGCAGGATGTGTCCCCGAATGGCCCCCATGCTGGATCTGTGCCGTGTGTTTGCAGGTCCCTGTTGCTGCCCCTGCCAGAGCCGGCCTTAGGGTGTCTCGGCCCTTCCTGCACGCAGGGTCCCCGGGAATCCACTCCCACCCTTGGGCGGCCCTTCTCCTCCAGCAGGGAGGCAGCGCCCTCTAGTGCCCTGCTCTGGGAGGGGCCTCCCTCCAGTGCGGAGAAGAAAACGAAATGGGTTTTTATGCCTGGAAAATAATTGTCATGCCAAGCGGGGCGGGCTGGCTGGCACCGGGCTGCCCTCCACCATGGGCCAGCTCCAGAGGAGCGCTGCTGAGCCATCAGAGCCAGGAACAAGCCTGCACTTCCCAGGAACCAGCCATCAAATCAGGTCCCTCCAGCAGCCCAAAGAGTCAGCCCCGGATGTCGCCCCGTTCTCGAGTCAGCCACAGCACTTTGTGCTGGCAGTTGTTGGCAACCACGTTTCGTGGCTCGGAGACAGCCAGGGCCAGATGTGAGGATCTGTCGGGTGCTGGGCCTTGAAGTGCTGTGGCTCGTGGCTGCAGAGGTGGGAAGGGGGTGCAGAATCGGACCCCAATCACTGTCACCTGCAGCCGCTGGTGAGATTGGCTGCTGCCTGGAGTGGGAGCTGAGGGAGGGAGGGCAAGGGAAGATGGGGATTGCAGCAGTGGAATCAGTACAAACATGTTCAGACCCGTAAAGTCCCCCTGGCTCCTCCGGCAGCGATCTGCACGCAGCGATGTCTGGCCCAGGAGCGGGATCGGAGGGTGTGGGGGGAGTCCAGGGCCAGGCTCGGGCTTTAAAAGCCAGTCAGCATCCACGACTGCAAGCAGGGGCAGTAACAGTGGGGCCCCAGGTGATGGGGGCTATTGACAGAGCCCTGAGGGACGGCGAGCGGGGTGGGGAGGGGTAATCTCCCTGGGCGAGATTGAGCAGGGGGGAGGGGTAGCAGCAGGGCCCTCCAGTGACTGGGGGTTGAGGGGGTGGCAGAGCCCCTGAGGGACTGCGAGTGGAGGTGGGAGTAAGAGCCCCCCCCACCCAAGGAAAGGGGAGCGGGGGGCTCTCTTGGGACCTGCCTGAATACAGCCCCATCAGCTCCTGCTTTCCTTTCTGACCCGTCAGGTCAAGCTAAGGCCTTCAGGGGCGATGCTCCCCAGCTCCCAGCCAGCGCCAGGCCTGCCCCCGGTGCACCCGCCCACCAGACCCAGGCCAGGAGTATGGCTGCCCCTGTGCCCACGAGTCGCCGCCTGGTGCCCAGCAGCATCCCCAAGCTGGCCAGCCGCGTCATCGTCCTGAGCAGGGCTGCCGTGCCCGGGAGGCCCAGCCAGCCGCAGCCCGCAGGCCGTGGCTCAGCTGGCAGGAGAGTGCTGCCGAGCGCAGCCGGACGGAGAGGTGAGAGCTCCGGCGGGTGCAAGAATAGCACGTTGCTCGCCCCGGGGTGGGGGCTGGGACAGACCCACGGGGAGCTCCCATGTCCTGCTTGCACTGGGCCTGAGCGGGGCAAGACTCTGCATTAGCAGGGGGCAAGGCAGCCCTTCCCTGGGCAATTAGTACCTCCCCCATAGACGCCACCGAGCAGTGCCTGCCGCCGAGCCAGCCCGGCTATGCCCGTCCTAGCCCAACGCCCCCCCCCCCGAGCAGGGCCGTATCCCCTAGTCCTGCTCTGACTGTTGGGAGCTGGAGCCCCTTGCAGAGTATGAACGGGGGGGGGTGGCCTGCCCTGACCCCTGGGGTCCTGCCCCAGGCTGGAGCTTTCTGGGCACACACAGCTCTAGCTGGGCTGCCCCTCCCCCCAGGACAATGGAAGCGTCTGTGTCTCTGCATTGTTACAATGGTCTAAGCGGGCGGCTCGTGCCCTGATGCCCATAGGATGCTGTTCGGTGGCACCTGGAGCTGGATCTCCATCTCCAAGCAGTGACGCTGCCTGCCCGTTACTGCCAGGTTTGCCAGAACCTATTCTCTCACCTAGCCCAGGCCATCTGGTGCTGGATGAGAGATCTCGGCAGCCTCCTGTATCCTTGTGCCCTTGAGGCTCAGATGCTCCAGCTGGGCTGGGCTGCGCTTCCTGCTGACTTTTCCCTTTGCCCGCAGGCCCCGGCCTTCAGCGAACGGCCCCTCCAGGAAGCAGGCTGCAGCCACCCCGGGAGGTGACCTTGCCCAGGTCTCCGAGGTAAAGCTCTCCCACTGTGTGGTGTGTGAGCCATATGGGAGCAGAGCTGCAGATCAGAGCAACCCCTGCGAGCTGTTTGCCCCAGGGCTGGCGCCGTCTGCAGGTTTCCTACGTAACTGCACGGACACTTCAGGAGCAAGGCTGCCCCTGTCGGTGAGAGCAGCATCCTTGGTTACCAGCCACCTCCTGTGGCAGGAGCTGTCCGTCTTGCCCTGTGTGCTCTGCAGCCCATCAGTGGCCGTCTTGTACATTAACCCCACAGCCACTTGTCCTCCCCGCAGGCCTGGGGCTGTTCCCTGCACTAAGGGCCCAGCACCCCAGTTGGGCCAGGTTTGCAGCAGGGCTCCGCATGGTGGGTGCTGAGCTCTCTAGAAAACCTGGATCCATATCGTCCCAGCACATGGGCTTTGGTCTTTAATCCTTCTCCACCCGGCCATCTGCACCCATTGATGGATGTCTGACACCCCCAAGCCCACGCGGCCTGCCTCACGCGGCGGCCTGCCTCACGCGGCTTCCTGCCGTGACGCTGGGCTGTGATAAAACGGTTTGAGACCAGACTCGGCCAAGACCCCGATCCTCCTCATGCTGGCAGAACTGGACTGACCCTTCACCTGCCCGCAGGGCATCCGTTAGCAGCACATGTCAGCTTGGAGGACACGGGAGAACTCATGGCCGCCACCTGCTAGGCGGGCAGCCTGAACTCCCCGGTTTTGAGCCTCTGCTCGGGGCGGGGGGTGGTCATGGTTAGTTTTACTTTGTTTTTTAGTTCGAGGAGGGGGAAATGCTGAGCTTGCGTGGTGCATGTGGACTGAGCAGGTTGCTGGACCGTACCGGCTGCGCCTGATCTCACGTGGCAGCTGCATCCCTACGTGTTCAGGGGTTGTAGACAGTGGGCCAGGAAATGGGGCTTCCCTGGAAAATCAAACTCCAAAATAGTTTGATTCTGAAATGCTGCCACGGTGCCTAGTGGGAGTTTTAGTTTGGGTGCCTTGTGTCCCCATTGTCCTCTAAAGGTTGGGCTCCCTGGTCAGACTACATTTCCCATGGTGCACCATGGAAAGGGGAGGCAGTGCCTTATGGGAATTGTAGTTTGGGTGCCTCACACTCCTAATCTGTGTGCCAGGCTCCCTGATTGGATTCTGTCCAGGGGCGGTGAGTTGTATGGGCCTGTGGTGCCCAGGCTCGAGCAATATTCAGGGCCTGGGGGCCAGGCTCCACCAACGTTTGGGGCTGGGTCTCACCCCTGGTCCCACTTGCCACCCCCGCGCATCTCCCCTGGGTCCCAGAGCATCCCTGCCTCTCCCCTGTAGCTCCATGCTGACTCGGATCTTCTAGCTCCCCGCACCAGCTGCCACCTAGTGCCCCCCTCACTAGTGGCAGGGCAGGCTGCCCTTACCCTGCCCTTCCACCTCAGACCCTTCCCTTTTCTGGCAGGGCCCGCCCCCGCCCGCAGTCACCGCTCCTGCCCCACACTGGGCAAGGGGCAGCCCCATCCCTCACCCCCCAGTGAGGCTACAGTGAGGGACAGCAGCCGGGGAGAAGGCACACATGTGATGGCAGCCTCCCTGGCACCCACCACAGGGGAGGCGAGAGGGGGCTTCCTGGACCTGAGGGGGACCCTAGGAGCACGTGCAGTGACAGTGGTGTAGGGTGAGGGGAGAAGAGGGGCCCCTCCCCCAGAGCTCACTGCTGCCGGTGGGGAGAGGGCTGGGGGGAGTCCTCCTCTCTGGCCCCAGCCCCAGGGCAGCCTGCCCGCACCCCAAACCCATCATCTCTAGCTCCACCCCACAGCCCTCACCCCTGCACCCCTCCCTCCGCACCCCCTCCCATCCGCAAACTCCCTCCCAGAGCCTGCACCCCTTACCCCCTCCTACACCCCCAGTCCAGAGCCTGCACCCAGCACCCAAACTCCCTCCCAGAGCCTTAGGCAGGTGGGGGGTGGAGTTGGGGGGGGGTTCTGGGTACCACCACCATTTTTACAAACCTGCTACCCCTGATTACGTCTCCGTTACGTGCTCTGGCCCTTCATTTGCCATCATGTATGGCCTCCTCTCACCAAGAGGGGAGACCATGGTGGGAAATGTCTCAAAAAGCTAGATTACAATTGGAAAAGGTTCAGAAAAGGGCAACTAAAATGATTAGGGGCATGGAACAGCTGTGTGAGGAGAGATGAATAAGACTGGGACTGTACAGCTTGGAAAAGAGACGGCTAAGGGGGGATACAGTAGAGGGCTATAAAATCATGACTGGGGTGGAGAAAGTGACTAGGGAAGTGTTATTTACTCCTTGTCATAACACAAGAACCAGGGGTTACCCAGTGAAATGAATAGGCAGCAGGTTTAAAACAAACACAAGGAAGTATTTCTTCACACAACGCACAGTCAACCTGTGGAACTCCTTGCCAGACGATGTTGTGAAGGCCAAGACTATAAGGGGGTACGAAATAAGTTCCTGGAGGATCGGTCCATCAATGGCTATTAGCCAGGCTGGGCAGGGATGGTGTCCCTAGCCTCTGTTTGCCAGAAGCTGGGAATGGGCGACAGGATGGATCACGTGATGGTTCCCTGTTCTGTTCATTCCCTTCGGGGTGCCTGGCGCTGGCCACTGTGGGCAGACGGGACAGGGGCCTGGATGGACCCTTGGTCTGACCCCGTCTGGCCGCTCTCATGGTCTTAGCCCTGCCAGGGAGCCCAGGCAATAGAGGAGACCAGGTGCATGAGGCCCCGCGACTGCATTTCAGAATCAGAATATTTAGTTTTGGGGTGAGTTTTTCAACAAAAACTGGAAAATTTATTTGGAAATTAGACACTTCACCCCAAATTCCTGTAGCTGAAAACTCGAGTGTCTGACAACATTGTTTTTGGCGGACAGAGGAGCGGGCTCTGGGCAGCTGGCCCTGGCGGGCAGCTTAGGCCCACAAATGAGCTGGGTTTCCAGGGCTGCCTTTGCTCCCGCTGTGGGCTCCTTCCTCTGAGCACGTCTCCAGGATTGCAGTGGGGCTGGATCATCCTTCCCGCCCCAAGGGCCTTGTTCCCTTTACGTTACATTGCACGGGCATAAAGGTCCCAGCGTGGGGATGAAAATCCAGCGGGCGGCAGAATCTGGCCCCAGGTCATTGTTATTTTTACCAACCCAGCAAAACATCCGCGCGTGTGTGTGTGTGTGTGTGTGTGTGAAACAAATCTGTGAAAGCTGGGCCAGATCCTCAGCTGGTGTAAACTGGTGTCTCTCCATCAGCTGCAGTAGCTACCTCCATTCCCTCTATTGTAACATTAACCCTTCCCCCTCCAGCACTCCCACCGCGTGCCATGAAGCTGACCCGCAACCCGTCAGCCTACCTTCAGCCTGAGCAAAGAACCCCACTGGGATCACGTGCTTTGGGCTCCTTCCCCCGTCCCCAGAGGGCAGCACAGCTGGGAATGTCCCTTTGCTCTGCTCTGGATTCTTGGGGGGGGACTAGGATCTTGTGTTAGACAAGACCCTCTTGGGCGGCGCAGCAGCACCCCCCAGGCTCTGTAAGTGGGGCCTGAGCCTCGGAGAGGCCCCAGGAGGTAGTATCTGAGCTGAAAGCAGCTGTTCTTGGGAGCCAGCTGGAGCCACCTGGGGCCCGATCTTCAGAGGGGCTGCAGGTTCCCAGCGGTTCAGATAATCTCCCCTTTCCCCTCCCCCATGCTTCAGGTGGGTCTGCAAAAGCTGGCCTTGGTGTGGCACTGAAATGCTGTGAACTGAGCCCTGTGGGGCAGCTGGACCCAGCTCCCTGGCATTAGTGTTGTTAAGAGGAGCTGTTTTTGTACTCTGTTTGTGGGCATTGAAACACGAACCCTTGCCGGAGGGGTCGGCTCTGTACCCGACTCTCTCTCATACACTATTTTTAAACAAACGGGGCGGCTGCTGGTCTCTTTCCTACAAGGCAGCGGCAGGGCGAGAACACACAAGCTGAGCAGGGCCCTGGCAAGCAGAGTCCAGCCCCATGGAGAGGCCCTTCCTGGCCAGCCAGGTGTGGGAGCTGGGCTCTGGCTCCCTTTCCTTGCAGCGTAACCGCCCTCTGCAGGCCTGGGAGAGTCGGGCCCAGGGCATTACTGCAGGAAGGGAGCTGCTGGGGCTGCGCTGAACCCTGGGGCTGGTCACCTGGCACACGTGCTCCCGCGAGCAGAGCAGCTCCTGTGTGACTGTCGCCTGCCAGCCCGGGCAGGGAAGCAAGTTCAAGCCCGATGAGCTTAGGCCCCCAGCAGGTTCTAGGAACCCTCCTGAGCCTTGGGGGCGCTGCTGCTCCAGCTCCCTGCCCACACCCTGACGTGATCTCGGGGCAGCTCGGGGCCTCCAGGTGCTCTGCACACAGCCCCATGGGGAGCCAGGCAGCGGGGCCCTGAGCAGGGCCAGTGGGGTCTTTCCATGGGAGTCAGTGATCTGTATCAGACCTAGTGTGACACTCCCAAGGTCACCCAGCAAGCCAGTAGCAGAGGGGGGAACAGAACCCAGGAGTCCTGGCTCCTAAGACCCTGCCCCAAACTCAACCCTCTGGACCCCACTTCCCTGCAGAGCTGGGAACAGAACCCAAGGACCCTGCCTTTGCTCTGGCCCTTCCAGGGGCTGCCGGGCTGCGCCCTCCCCGGGCAGGGGAGAAGCTTCAGCATTGGCCAAAGTGGCCTCTCCGCCAGGCCAGCTCTTGGGTTTGAACTGACACAAAGGCCGAGTCCTGCGGTAAAACAACCCACCTGGGCTGCACCCTCGGCGGAACTGGATCACCCTAGTGGGCCCCGCGCCTCGCAGGGGGTTCTGGCAGCCAGGTGCCTGGCCAGGCCTGCGCCCACTCAGCGAGAGCCTGGGTCCAGCTGATGCAGGGCTTTGGTGACACAGAGGTGAGGGTAGGCATTTACACCGGCTGAGGCTGCGTCTGTGCGTCCCAGATCCTCAGCTACCCGCCTGCCCCCCACAGTGGGCGTCCAGGAGCCGAGGGCAGCGAGCAGCCAGCCCAGTGCATGCGTCTGCCCAGAGCTCATGGGGTTAGTGCCAGAGCCCAGCGGTCGCTCCTGCCACAGCTTTGCCCAGCTGGCCCCGGACCACATGGATTCACGCAGGAGGCCACAAGTCGGGGCTCAGCTGCTCTTCACAAACAAAACTCAGACCCGGCAAGGGGCAGCTGCAGCCTGCTCCAGCCCAGGGGCCCACAAAACCAGCATGGAGCCAGCCATCGGCTGGGCCTGTCCCTGCCCCCCTGCACAGCATGTTCTTGGTGGGAGGCAGGGCTGAGCAAATGTGGGGTCCAAGTGAGGGGGTCTGTGGGGCAGTGCACAAGGATAACACCCCCAGCCCGGGGTGGGGCCTGGCTGGTCTCACGGCACAGGACAGCTCCCCCTTACGCCTGGTGGTTGGGTCCTGCCCAACTACACCCAGACCAGCTCCTGCCCAGCCCAGCCATGGGGCTGGTAAGCCCCATGAGGTGTGATGGTGGGATTCTCACCTCTCCCCCATCAATATATGATTCTCCAGCCCCCATTGGTGGTACCGTGCCCCTCCTGAGACCCCCAACAGCTCTGCCCTTCAGCACCTGCCGGGGGACCCGGGACCTGGCTCGGTGAGTATGGGGGGCCTAGATGGGGCATGGGGGATTTTACCAGCAGCAGGACCAAGTTGCAGCTTTACAAAGAAAACCCCAGGAAGGGTTCAAACCCACAGACCCCTGCTGTCCTGGGCACCGTGGCGAGCGCCCGGCAGGTTGGGGGTCCTTTGTGCAGCTTGGGAGGGGCTGAGTGCCTGTCCTCAGAGAGCAGTGTCCTACACTGGATGCCCCCAGATTCCCCTCACCCCCACCCTGCTGCACCGGCTCAAACCCCGCTGCGGAATGATGCTGCAGCATGCGGCCGGGGTCAGGCTGGTTTTTTAAATAAAAAAGCGTCCAGCAAGCGCCATCAAATTGACAATTACACCAGAGTCCCCAGCGGTGTCCCGTCCCCCTGCGCAACACCTCCCCATCTACCTGCAGCAGGCACAGGCCGGCCATGGCCCAGGGGCTGGGGACGCACATCAAAAAGCACTTTCCAAAAGCCCTGGTGGGTGCCACCTGGGCCAGCACTGGCCGGGGGGGGCCTAGAAAACAAAGGCTTTGAGGCAGAAAGGCAGGTGTGGCAGGGCCCTTGCCCAGTGGCACAGGAGCCCCTCATTCACTCAGCATCGGGGGGGTTAGCCCTCCCCCTTTGTGGTGTGTGTGTGCGGGGTGGGGGGGATTGTACAGAATAATCACAGCCTGGCCCACACAGCTGCAGGGGTCTCTCCCCCCGCCCCCCCCCATCAGCCTTGGCTAAGGGCCTGGCGCTGCCAGTGGGGGCTTGGCAACCCTGCCAGTGTAGCTGGCTTTAAGGGCTTGAGCCCATAGCAGTCCAGGAGCATCTTTCCTGGGACGGCCCCCCCACCCCATGGGCACCTGGCCCATCCTCCCCCCCCCAGCTGGAGACTGCTGCTGTCGCTTGCCATGGGTGCAGAACGGGGCCCTCACCCGGCTGCCCCAGGGGCCCTGCCCCGAGCCCCGGGGCGTCGTGCGGCACAGCAGAGGCAGAGCGTGCTGGGGACACAGCGCTGGAGACAAGGGCACGTTTCAGGCCCAGCACCACCATGGCAGCGTGTTCAGGCATGGGGCTGGTTCACTGTGGGGCCAGCCCAGCCCCCCACCTCATGGGGGCCCATGGTGAGATCCTTGGGGTCTGGGCCAGAGGCGCTGGGGGCACTTGGCCCTCTGCCAGGCAGCCCCACATGGCAATGGCCAACCCGGGGCTGTTTTAGGGGCTGTGGGGGACTACCCCTCAGCAGGGCAGTGGTGCCCATGGGGAATAGGGGCAACTAGCCCAGGGGCCCAGTGGCAATCGAGACCGTGCCTGCAGGGCTGAGGGGCCACGCTAGTGGCTCTGCACAGTGACTGTCCGGCCAGCCGCCTGCCTGCAGCTGGGGCGGGGCCAGCGTGGGGCCCAGCGCATTTGCCAGGAGCCGAAGTGCAGCTGTTAAGTACGTCCATGGTCCAGGCCCCCACCCTGCTCAGCACTGGCCAGCAGGGGACTGCACTGGGCACAAAAACCCGGCGGGTCAAGGCGGCGCCCTGGGTCCTTTCGCTCCTCGTTGAAGGGTCAGTGGGGCACCTGGCAAGAGCGTGGGGCGATGCAGCTTGTGCTCCAGGCGGGAGCCCCGGCAGCTGGTCCCCAGGATGGAGGGTCCCCATTGGCTGGCGGCTGGTCCCGAGGATGGAGGGTCCGGATGAGCTGGTTCCCGGGGCAGAGGGGCCCTGTCGGTTGGCAGCTGGCCCCAACGCAGAGGGACCCTGGCGGCTGGCAGCTGGTCCCCATTGGCTGGTGGCTGGCCCCCGGGGTAGAGGGGCCGCGTCGGCTGGGCCCCGGGGGCCTGCTCAGATGGAGGTCTCGTCGCTCCTGCTCAGTGATCAGACACACACCGAGAGGGGGGAACAAACACACAGACGTATGGTCATGAGCAGCTGGGCCGGGCCCCCGGCAGGCTGGCCAGGCGGGCGGCAGAGCCACGTGGCGCACATGTTAATGGAGGAAATTAAAGAACAGAAATCTGGGCGGTTGGGGGCAGGAGACAGAGAGGGGAGGGGGGGTTAGTGCGAGAGTGGAGAAAGCAGTGGAAGAGTTAGAGACGGAAGCGCCAGGCAGGGTCTTGCCCCCACCCCGAATCAGCCCTGCCTAATTGGGGCCCCAGACTCCCAGCTCAGAGCCCTGGGCTCAGCCCCAGGCCAGCTGCTCGGGGCGGGCAGGCTCCCAGCGGCTGGGGGCAGCTCAGCCCGTCCTGTGACTCGCAGGGGGCGGCCGAACCCCGCATGGAATTGGGGGTGGGGGGAACTGAGGCTCCGGCCGTACAGCCCAGTCCAGCTCTCGGGACTCGCCCCGGCCGGGGGGCAGGATCCGGGCCCAGAGCATGGGCAGAGCCATGGGGACGCTAGGCCAGGGGAGGAGACGCCGGGGGGCGGAGCCTGGCTGGTTTGAATGGGCACAGCCCCAGCCACCTTCCAGGGTGATGGAGGCTGAGGCCGGCGGGGTGGGAGGTTGGGGTGACGCGGGAGCAGCTCCGGAGCCTCCCCCCACAGCCAGACCCAGGGCAGGTCTATGGCACTGGCTGCCCTGCAGGTGGGCACCAGGAGGGGTCAGTGGCAGTGGCCTTGGCAGCGGCCTTAGCCCCGGGCACCTACTCACTCGGAGCCGGAGGAGTCCTCGTCCACCGTGCCGGCCTTGATGCTCATGGTGATGGGTGTCACCCCGTTGAGCTGCTCCTGCAGCGTCTGGCGGGGCCGTGGCAGCACCCTGCCCCCCCGGCTGCCCTCGCTGCCCGTCGAGGAGCCGTGTGATGCCACCGTGCCCGGCGGGCGGGCTGAGAGCTCGCTGGGCACATGGCGGAGGCTGTTCTCGCTGATGGTAGGGAGGCACTTCTTCTTCAGGATCCCTGCAGGGGGAGATGGGGGGGTGAGGCCAGGGCAGAAGGGGGAGGGGGCCCAGGCAGCTGGGGTGGGGACAGATGGGAGGGGTCGTGAGGCCGGGACGAAGGTGTGGGGGACCCTCCCGGTTCCTGGCCCGGGCAGGCGCCCTGTGCCGAGCTACAGACAGAGGAATCGCCCCATGGGAGCAGAGCCGCCCCATCCAGCCTGGGCTCCCAGATCCTGCAGCCAGCAGGGCCAGAGCAGGTCCTGGGGCTTTGCCAGGCTCGCCTCACCCGCAGCACCTGCCTCTCTGCAGCATTGATCAGGCCCGGCCTGGCAGGAGCCTGCGACCACCAGCTGCCACACGGGTCCAATGCCACCCAGCTAAGGGCTGGAGAAGCCATGCCAGGCTCTGCCGTGTCTGTAGGGGAACCCCATCCCTTATCGAGCCCCCGTCTCTGCTGTGTCTATAGGGGAAGCTCTGAAGCCCCTCTAGCCCCTGGAGCGCCCCACCCCCACTCAGTGATATCTGTGGAGGACCCCCTGCCCCGCACAACACCCTCCCCCTTGCAATGCTGGGCCCCCACCCTGGGTGCAGGGGGTGCTGGGTTCACTGCTTACCTCTCTGGGGCTGGGCAGCAGGGTTGGGCAGCGGAACCGGCACGTTCTTGTCCAGGGCCTCCCCGTTCTCCCTGGGTGCCTCCTCTGGGGGTCCCAGCCGCACCTGTCCCGCGGCTGGCTCCACCCGCAGCATCTCGGGGCCGGTGTGCCCGTCACTCTCGCTGGCCGTGGTCACAAACTCCCCCGGCCAGTAGGGCTTGCCGTGGGCCGGCACGTTATCCGCTGGGGGAGAGCACAGTGAGCTGAGCCGGGGACCCTCCGGAGCCAACTCCCCACCACCCCAGGGCTGCTCCTGTGCACACCGAGCAGGCAAGGGGATGGCAGAGGCCCGGTGTGGGGCAGGCGTCCATCCTGGGGCAGGCGAAAGGGGAGCAGGCACCTGGCCTGGGGCAAGCGAGGAGAGGGCAGGTGCCCGGCGTGGGGCAGGTGAGGGGACGGCAGGCACCCGGCATGGGGCAGGCGCCCGGCGTGGGGCAGACGAGGGGACGGCAGGCGCCCGGCATGGGGCAGGCGCCCGGCGTGGGGCAGGCGAGGGGACGGCAGGCGCCCGGCATGGGGCAGGCGCCCGGCGTGGGGCAGGCGAGGGGACGGCAGGCGCCCGGCATGGGGCAGGCGCCCGGCGTGGGGCAGACGAGGGGACGGCAGGCGCCCGGCATGGGGCAGGCGCCCGGTGTGGGGCAGACGAGGGGACGGCAGGTGCCCGGCATGGGGCAGGCGCCCCTCATAGCTGTAGTGGCCCCTGCCCCGGGGTTACAGGGCAGCCAGGGGAGGGGCGGAAAGGAGCCAGCCCCACGGCTTAGCCACCCCCCGTCCCGCCGGCCGTGGGCCCAGAATGGGGCTCTCAGGTGCTGACCCACTGTGGGGGCTGCTCCCTCCCCTGCCAGCCCCCTGGTCCCGGCGTTACCTTTGGGGGCGCTGTGTGGCGGCAGCTTCTCGCTGGGGGGGCCCAGCAGGTTCTCCCAGCAGGGCTCCCCCGGGAACGCCTCGTCCTCCGCGCTGTCCGAGGAGTGGGTGGAGGCATAGGAGCCGCTCTGGTCGTCCTCCAGGGACAGGTCGCTGTCCGAGTCCGTGTCGTGCTCTGGGGCAGGGACACACGGAGAGCTCAGCACCAGCGCCCCCATGGGCCAGCCGGACTCACTCGGCAGGGCCAGCTCCCCCCACCGGCCTGCAGGGCCCCTCCCAGCCTAGGGCACAGCCGGGAGACAGAGCCTGGTGCCGGGCTCCAGACAGCCCAGTTCTGCCCCCCGAGCCAATGGGACCCCCCGGTGTGGCAGCCACCGGAGGACGCTGTCGCTGGCCGCCCGCCCTGCGTCACCCAGCAGAGGGCAGCACGGCTCCTCCCTTGCTCACCGTTCGGCTGGTCCTTGGCCGCCAGGAAGAGGGCGCCGGGGTCCGTCTGCCCGCTGGGCGCCTGGCAGCTCTTCAGCCCAGACTCCTCCCTGCAAAACACGGGCGGGAGACTAGAGCCACCGCAGGGCCTGGCCAGGCCGGGCTCCGGAGCCGCGGGGCCCAGCGCTGCCGGGGGGGCTGGCTGCCCTGGCAGGGGGGGCTGGCTGCCCTGGCAGAGGGGGCTGGCTGCCCTGGCAGGGGGGGCTGGCTGCCCTGGCAGGGGGGGCTGGCTGCTGTGGCAGAGGGGTGGCTGCTGTGGCAGGGGGGCTGGCTGCCCTGGCAGGGGGCTGGTGCCCTGGGAGTGGGGGCTGGCTGCGTGGCAGGGGGGCTGGCTGCTGTGGCAGAGGGGCGGTGCTGTGGCAGGGGGGCTGGCTGCCCTGGCAGGGGGCTGGCTGCCGTGGCAGAGGGGCTGGCTGCCCTGGGAGTGGGGGCTGGCTGCCGTGGCAGGGGGGCTGGCTGCCCTGGCAGAGGGGGCTGGCTGCCCTGGGAGTGGGGGCTGGCTGCCGTGGCAGGGGGGCTGGCTGCCCTGGCAGGGGGGGCTGGCTGCCGTGGCAGAGGGGGCTGGCTGCCCTGGGAGTGGGGGCTGGCTGCCGTGGCAGGGGGCTGGCTGCCGTGGCAGGGGGGGCTGGCTGCTGTGGCAGAGGGGGCTGGCTGCTGTGGCAGGGGGGGGCTGGCTGCCCTGGCAGGGGGGGGCTGGCTGCCGTGGCAGAGGGGGCTGGCTGCCCTGGGAGTGGGGGCTGGCTGCCGTGGCAGGGGGGGCTGGCTGCCCTGGCAGAGGGGCTGGCTGCCCTGGGAGTGGGGGCTGGCTGCCGTGGCAGGGGGCTGGCTGCCCTGGCAGGGGGGCTGGCTGCCGTGGCAGAGGGGGCTGGCTGCCCTGGGAGTGGGGGCTGGCTGCCGTGGCAGGGGGGGCTGGCTGCCGTGGCAGAGGGGGCTGGCTGCCCTGGGAGTGGGGGCTGGCTGCCGTGGCAGGGGGGGCTGGCTGCCCTGGCAGAGGGGGCTGGCTGCCGTGGCAGGGGGGGCTGGCTGCCGTGGCAGAGGGGGCTGGCTGCCCTGGCAGGGGGGGCTGGCTGCCGTGGCAGGGGGGCGGTACCTGAGCACGAAGGGGAGGTAGCTGTGCTGGCTCTTGCCTGAGTGCACGGTGCTGTGCAGGGAGCCCGTGGACGCGCCGAAGGGCATGTGGTACAGCCGGCCGGCCACATATGTATTGTTGCAGTTGTAGGCCTGGGGGCGGGGGTCAGAGAACAGGGGGCCAGACGGTGAGTCGCTGCTTCCTCTGACACTTCCCACTTGGCCTGCTGCCCCTCCCCAGCACCTCAGCCCTGGGGTCCCCCAGCTCTGCCGGTGCCCCTCACTCCCGACCCGCAGCCCCTGCCATCCCAGCCCTGGGCTCCCCCCAGCCCCCAGCTCTGCCGGTGCCCCTCACTCCCGACCCGCAGCCCCTGCCATCCCAGCCCTGGGCTCCCTCCAGCCCCCCAGCTCTGCCGGTGCCCCTCACTCCCGACCCGCAGCCCCTGCCATCCCAGCCCTGGGCTCCCCCCAGCCCCCAGCTCTGCCGGTGCCCCTCACTCCCGACCCGCAGCCCCCTGCTATCCCAGCCCTGGGCTCCCCCCAGCCCCCCAGCTCTGCCGGTGCCCCTCACTCCCGACCCGCAGCCCCTGCCATCCCAGCCCTGGGCTCCCCCCAGCCCCCCAGCTCTGCCGGTGCCCCTCACTCCCGACCCGCAGCCCCCTGCCATCCCAGCCCTGGGCTCCCCCAGCCCCCCAGCTCTGCCGGTGCCCCCCTCCCACCCCCCGACCACCCGCCCCAGCCCCCAGTGCCATCCCAGCCCTGGGCTCCCCCCAGCCCCCCAGCTCTGCCGGTGCCCCTCACTCCCGACCCGCAGCCCCCTGCCATCCCAGCCCTGGGCTCCCCCCAGCCCCCCCCCTGCCGGTGCCCCTCACTCCCGACCCGCAGCCCCTGCCATCCCAGCCCTGGGCTCCCCCCAGCCCCCCAGCTCTGCCGGTGCCCCTCACTCCCGACCCGCAGCCCCTGCCATCCCAGCCCTGGGCTCCCTCCAGCCCCCAGCTCTGCCGGTGCCCCTCACTCCCGACCCGCAGCCCCCTGCTATCCCAGCCCTGGGCTCCCCCCAGCCCCCCAGCTCTGCCGGTGCCCCTCACTCCCGACCCGCAGCCCCTGCCATCCCAGCCCTGGGCTCCCCCCAGCCCCCCAGCTCTGCCGGTGCCCCTCACTCCCGACCCGCAGCCCCTGCCATCCCAGCCCTGGGCTCCCTCCAGCCCCCAGCTCTGCCGGTGCCCCTCACTCCCGACCCGCAGCCCCCTGCTATCCCAGCCCTGGGCTCCCCCCAGCCCCCAGCTCTGCCGGTGCCCCTCACTCCCGACCCGCAGCCCCTGCCATCCCAGCCCTGGGCTCCCCCCAGCCCCCCAGCTCTGCCGGTGCCCCTCACTCCCGACCCGCAGCCCCTGCCATCCCAGCCCTGGGCTCCCTCCAGCCCCCAGCTCTGCCGGTGCCCCTCACTCCCGACCCGCAGCCCCCTGCTATCCCAGCCCTGGGCTCCCCCCAGCCCCCAGCTCTGCCGGTGCCCCTCACTCCCGACCCGCAGCCCCTGCCATCCCAGCCCTGGGCTCCCCCAGCCCCCAGCTCTGCCGGTGCCCCTCACTCCCGACCCGCAGCCCCCTGTCATCCCAGCCCTGGGCTCCCCCAGCCCCCAGCTCTGCCGGTGCCCCTCACTCCCGACCCGCAGCCCCCTGCTATCCCAGCCCTGGGCTCCCCCAGCCCCCCAGCTCTGCTGGTGCCCCTCACTCCCGACCCGCAGCCCCCTGCTATCCCAGCTCTGGGCTCTCCCCAGCCCCCAGCTCTGCCGGTGCCCCTCACTCCCGACCCGCAGCTCCTGTCATCCCAGCCCTGGGCTCCCCCCAGCCCCCAGCTCTGCCGGTGCCCCTCACTCCCGACCCGCAGCCCCTGTCATCCCAGCCCTGGGCTCCCCCCAGCCCCCCAGCTCTGCCGGTGCCCCTCACTCCCGACCCGCAGCCCCCTGCTATCCCAGCCCTGGGCTCCCTCCAGCCCCCAGCTCTGCCGGTGCCCCTCACTCCCGACCCGCAGCCCCCTGCTATCCCAGCCCTGGGCTCCCTCCAGCCCCCAGCTCTGCCGGTGCCCCTCACTCCCGACCCGCAGCCCCTGTCATCCCAGCCCTGGGCTCCCCCCAGCCCCCCAGCTCTGCCGGTGCCCCTCACTCCCGACCCGCAGCCCCCTGCTATCCCAGCTCTGGGCTCCCTCCAGCCCCCAGCTCTGCCGGTGCCCCTCACTCCCGACCCGCAGCCCCCTGCTATCCCAGCCCTGGGCTCCCCCCAGCCCCCAGCTCTGCCGGTGCCCCTCACTCCCGACCCGCGGCCCCTGCCAGCCCAGCCCTGGGCTCCCCCCAGCCCCCCAGCTCTGCCGGTGCCCCTCACTCCCGACCCGCAGCCCCTGCCAGCCCAGCCCTGGTAGAGATGACGCCGCCCAGGGCAGAGAGCCAGGCCGAGACACTAGTCACTCCGGCTGTGCGGGGCTGGGCACTAACCGCTGTCAGGGTGGATTTGGTGGTGAGTGCGGGGTCTGTGCTGTGCTTCTTGCTGCAGCTGAACTTCAGAGCCTTCCTCACGTCCTTGCTGAAGACAATGCAGGCGAGGAAGATGAAGGGACCCTGAGGGAGGGTGCGAGGGGCAGGTCAGAGCCCGCTGGGGCTGAGCTGGGCTGGGGGGCCTGGATGGAGCTGAGGGGGGTCCATGAGCCAGGCCCCCTGCCCTGACGTACTGCCACGCTTCCTGCCGGGGGGCGATGGCTCTGGGGGCAAGTGCCCACACAGGGGTCCTCCACTGGGGACCTCTGCGCCAGGCCCAGATCCCCCCCAGCCGTCACAGCGCAACCCCCCCACCCCCACCCTGGCACCATGGTGTGAAGCTGGCTCACCACAGGGCCGGGCACAGGCCCTGCCAGCTCGGAGCCAACAGGGCCACGCCGGGCTGCTGGGGCCTCTGTGCCATCTCTACACAGGATCGGCTCCTGGGCCAAACTGGGGAGACCCCCACCCCTGCTGGGGAAAAGGCCCTGCCCCCTGCCCTGCCGTACCTGGAGGCAGTTGAAGCCGGCGAAGAGGTAGTGGAAGAGGATGGCGTCGCTGTTGACGGAGAGCAGGGCCAGGAGCCACGTGGCGCTAACCAGTAGCAGCACCAGGAATGCCGCCCGCAGCCCCGACCTGTGCCGGGCAGAGGGGTCAGGCCAGGCCAGAGATGCCAACCCCGCCCACACCGACCCCTCCCGCACTGTGGGACGCAGCAGGGAGGGGGAGCGTTGACCTGGGAATGTGGCAGGGGGGTTTCCCTGGGGATGGGAGACCTGAGAGCCTCTAACCTGAGCCAGGAGGGGATGGGGGAGGTAAAACTGGACAAAGGCTGGCGGGGAGCTGAGGGAAGCTGGGTGAGACGCTGAAGGGGGCAGTTGGCTGGGGAAGAGGGGAGAGCCCCAGAGAAGGGGGTCTAAGCTCCCCACCCCCCAGAAGGTCCTGTTTAGGCCTGCAAGCTCTGGTCTGGACTGCGTTCCTGTCGTCTCTAAAAAACCTTCTGTTCTACTGGCTGGCTGAGAGTCACGGTGAATGTGAATCGCAGGAAGTGGGGGTACAGGGCCCTGACTCCCCCAAGCTTCGTAACACACTGACCCCTGCCCATGCCCACAGAAACCCCTCCCCCGCCCACCCCCACACCAACCCTGCCTGCACCGACCCCTCCCCCCAAGAAACAGCCCCCCAGTTCCCTCCCCCTGGGAGCAGGCCTCAGTCAGCACCTCCCGTGCTGCCCTGCCAGCCAGCGCTGCCCGGGGTGGGGGGGCAGGGGTATGACTCACACTGGGCCCCTCTTCTCGAAGCCCCGCTCCTGGGCCAGGCAGGCGGCTTTGGTGGCCAGGACATGGAGGAAGACGCTCGTCTGCGCGGGGGAGAGGGTGGGTCAGCAACAGGAGGCAGGGCCCAGGGTCCCCCAGCCCCACCCCATGGCCCCTGCCCCTCCCCACAGTCTGCCCAAGCGGCTGAAGTGCGGAGCCCAAGGCCCCCCGGCAGGGCCCCAGCCCAAGGCCCCCACCCAGGCAGAAGGAGGCTGTTTCTTGGCAGGATGCGCTTGCGCAGGCATGAGCCATGGGAAGCAGCCCCTGGGTCAGAGCCCTGGTCCGGCTGAGCTGGGACACTTCCAAGGAATCCATAGTGAGGGGGTTCCCTTCCTGCCCCCACGTGACAGGAGGAGTCTGGAGGCCAGTGGAAGGAAGGGCAGCAGGTCTGCATGGCCCAGGCCCTCCCCTCGCCCCTCATGGCTCTCCCCAGCAGGGGACCTCAGTGGGGAAACTGAGGCACTGAGAGGCAAAGACGCCTGTCCCAGGTCAAACAGAAAGTCAGTGACTGGCCTGGGAAGAGAACCCAGGAGTCCTGGCTCCCAACCCCCCTGCTCTAACCACTAGACACCCCCCCAAGAGCAGGGATAGGAGCTAGGAGTCCTGACTCCTAGTCCCCCCCAACCAGAGTGAGGGGGGGCGGTGCAGCGCACGCGGGCCAGTGCCGGGTGCCCAGCGAGGGCGTGGGGGGGGCAGCCTGTGCACTGGGGGGCAGGTAACGAAGCTGGGGCTGCTGTGCACAGGATCGACCAGCCGTGCCCGCGGGGGTGGTGGGGGCACCCCACATGCGGCCCCTGCAACTGTGACGTCAGCAAAGGCTTCGACCCCACTGCCCAGGGGAGACTCACTGCAGGGTGAGTGAGGGAGATACCACTGCAGAGGGACAGCGGGGGGTGTGCCTGGGTCAGCTGGAGGAGATACCACTGCAGAGTGGGTGGCGGGGTGCCCAGGCCAGCTGGGGGGAGATACCACTGCAAGGAGACTGGGGGTACCCGGGCCAGACCATGCTGCTGTTGGTCTTGCTGCCCTTTGATCCTCCCCGTGTCTCCCCAGCCCCATGCACTAGCCTCCGAGCCCCTGCTGCCCCCATACGCACTGAGACAGCGAAGGCGATGGGCCCGGCGAAGCTCCAGACCAGCGTGTCATAGATGGAGAGCCAGCAGAAATCGGGGTTCCCGTAGCCCTCAGGGTCCAGCCCCACGGCCAGTCCTGTGAAGAGAGGAGCCACATGGCTCATCACATCCCATCCTGGCAGAGTACGGAGGAGCCAGCAACCCATGAGCCCTCTGCGCCGCTGGCAGACCAGGCGCCACCCATGCCAAGGGCCCCGTGTCTCCACTGAACACGGACCAATCGGCCCGGTGTTAACCAGGGAGCAGAATGGGAAGGTTGCGGTCAGTCTTCCCGGAGTGCTTGGGAGCGTTCTCACCCAGAACGGCTGTATCCCTTTGTGACGAAGTGGGACTGTTCTTAATGTTTCCTCCAAATATTGTGGGGATGCCTCAGTTTCCCCTAGGCAGTTCTTAAGTATCTAGGTGGTGGGGTAAGGGTGTATGATCATTGCAGAGCCCTAGAGGGCAGGTGTGTGCAGGAGTCTGGACACAGAGAATGGCCGACACCCTGTTTCCTGGCAACTGATGGCCTGGGCCCTTCCCCTCCCTGCAAGGTGAAAGCTGAAGGGTTGGAGAATAAAGGAATCAGGTGACCACCTGGCCCAGGAAAGGAACAAAGCCCAGGAGAGGAGGGGATGGAGGGAGTTTCAGTTTGGGGCTGGCTGGGACATGGAGTGAAGGGCAGACGTGGTTGTCTGGCTCACTGCCCCCCAAAATGGACCCAGCTGAGGGGTCCTGTTCTCTGCACCTACAAGCTCTGTGTTAGACCATGTTCCTGTCGTCTAATAAACCTTCTGTTTTACTGGCTGGCTGAGAGTCACGTCTGACTGCGGAGTTGGGGTGCAGGACCCTCTGGCTTCCCCAGGACCCCGCCTGGGCGGACTGGCTGGGGAAGCGCACGGAGGGGCAGAGGATGCTGAATGCTCCGAGGTCAGACCCAGGGAGGTGGAAGCAGTGTGAGCTGTGTGTCCTGAAGACAGGCTGCTCACAGAAAGGCGACTGCCCCAGAGTCGCTCCCCATGACTGGCTTCATGGGGAGCAGTTCCAGAGCATCACCCAGGGACTCCGTGACACCCTTATCGGGCGGTGACATCCCAGGGGTCGGATCGTGAGCCAGTGGGACCCAGCAGCCTGGAGAGATGTTAGCTAGTGCAAAGGGCTGGGCGCCAAAGAAGGGGTGACGCCCTGCCCCACGGGAGAGGTCCATGGATACCAGACCTGCCACTGGATCATCCCTACGTACCGTCAGCGAGAGGACAGAAGAGGAGTCAGGGCAGTGGGTTCCCCCCAGCTGCTGAGTTTGCAGTGGTGGGGGGGAATCAAACCCCCAAACAAAAGAGACCTGGGATCTTTGAGCTGCCTGGACGCTGTGGGGGCCAAGTGTTTGTAGGCAAACGCAAGAGATGTCCGGCTGCTTAGCCTTCTCAGAGAAGCCTCTGTTACCTTTTGAACCGTAAGGTTGGAACTCCTTTGTGTACCTCTGTTACCTACTGTAACCTCATCAGTAACCCTCGTTACCTTTTCCTAGCTGATGACTCTGTAGATAGTTTGTTAGAGGTTTCCCGGCAAGCCCGGTCTTTGGGGTGAGATCTGAGGTGCAGCTGACCTGAGTGAGTGACTGGTCCTTCGGGACTGGGAGTGACCTGAACCTCGCTGTGATCTGTGGCGTGAGGGACCAGCCACCACAAAGGCCGGCTCACCGGGCTGGCGACAGAGCGGAGTGCCCAAGGGGACGGTCTGTGACTCCAGAGGAATTCACACTAGAAAGATAACTGGGTGGTGCGGGCTCAGTGCTGAACTCCCAGCCAGCGTGGGGGTGGGGGCGCCCTGCTCCTACCAGCCTGCCGAGAGCACTCCCCTCCCTGCCTTGCCCAGCAGCGGACAGGGGAGCCTGGGGGGAGCAGACGCAGCCCCAGCAGGGAGGCGGGGCAGCGCCGGGGCTCACCTGTGATGAAGGCTGGCACGCCCCAGCCCACCATGTAGTAGAAGCGCATGGGGCTGTGGTTGATGTCCCGCACCTCGGTCAGCATGCGGTAGAGGTGCAGCGCTTCCAGCAGGAGCCAGGCGAAGGTGCACATGTAGAAGAAGTGCAGCAGGATGGCGATCACGGTGCAGGCAAACTGCGGGGAGGGCCGGGCGTTAGGGGGCAGGGGGAGCCGGCACAGCCGGGGAAAGGCCCCAGGACACCCGGGTTACCATGCGCCCCACAGGCTCTGGGGCGCCCTGCTGCCCCCAGCTAGGAGACTGCACCCTGCAGGGCCTCCATGCCTGGGCTCAGCCAGCCCCGCCGGGGCCCCATGCGCAGGGCCCCGGGCCCAGCCCAGCCGCCGCCTGCTCAGCGCCCCACCCCGGCCCAGTCGCGCCGCAGGAGGGTCCCCGGCCAGCCCAGCCCCCCGCAGCGCCCGCCCGCAGGCTCACGGGGACGTCGGCCTGGTTGATGCCCAGCAGGAAGACGAGCTCGGCGAGGAAGAGGGCAGTGGCGGTGTTCTTGCGGATGCTGTGCTGGTTGCCACGTAGGGCCCGCGGGCCGGCCAGCACCAGGAAGGTGAGCAGGAGGCTGCCCAGCGTCACGGCCACGGAGGCATAGGTGATGGTCTGCAGCGGCAGGATCTCCCCGTTCTGGGGGGCAAAGGGGGCTCGTTGGGCAGCAACCAGCACTCAGGCCCTGCCCCCCAAGCAGCTCAGGGCTCAGAGATCACCATAGCCCCACCCTCTCTCACACGGGGCTCCACCCATGGCTCCACCTCCTCGGGAATGGGGCTCCTCCCCCTCTCACCCCTCACACTGTGACCCCGCCCATAGCTGCACTCCCTGGGCGATGGGGCCCCACCCCACCCCACCCCTCCTTTCATACTGTGGCCTTGCCCATGGCTCCGCCCCCTGGCTATCTGGGCTCCTCCCACTCTCACCTCTAACACTGTGACCCCGCCCATGGCTCCGCCCCTGGGTTGGGGCCCCGCCCACTGCCCGCTCACCTCTCTCCTGGAGATGTCCATCAGCACGGCGAAGCTGGTCATGTGGCTGCACTGGCAGCTGACGTGGCTCTGGTTCCTGAAGACCAGCTCACAGCCCCTGGCCGACCAGCCGCCCACCCCACCAGGCCTGGGGAGCAGGAGGGCCAGAGTCAGGGGGGGGTTCTGGGGGACCCCGCTGGGGTAACAGGGCCTGCGAGCCAGAGCCCCCCCGCAGGTGGGCGGGCTGGGGGTGCTGGGCCCAGCCCGGGGTACTCACAGTATGGAGTGGTTCCAGAAGACGCAGATGGGCTTGGAGCGCTCCTCCATCTCCAGCAGCCGGAACTGCACGGTGATGGGCTTCTCCAGTGCCCGCGGCCCCCGCTGCTCCTCGTCGTGCACCATGATGCTCACCACCGGCGTGTTGATGATGGGCCGTTTGGGGACCCTGCGGGAACAGCTGGCACAGTGGGACCCAGCGCCACGTGCCCCGCCTCACTCGCCTCGGCCCCAGCGACTGGGACCTGTGTGCTCCAGCCCCCCAGCTATCTGCCCACCCACCTTTCCCCCTGCGCCTCCGCCATCCCCCACAGCTACCTGCCCCCGCATGTGCCCCCCGCCACAGCTACCTGTCCCCCTGCGCCTCTGCGACGACCCCCAGCTACCTGCATCCCACCTGCACCTCCCCTCCCCGCCACAGCTATCTGCCAGAGGAGATGGGGGAGGGTCCAAGCCCAGTTCCCAGCAGGGCCGTGGAGACCAAGTTCCCCTGGGGACCCCACAGGGCAGGGCCATGGCACTGGGGCCCTCACTGCCTCTCCGTGCCCCACCTCGCACCATCTTCTCCCCAGCACCTCCCAGCTCCTCTCCCCAACGCCCCCCCCCACCCCGGGAACCTCTCCCCAGCGCCGTGGGTACCGCAGGCTCCGCTTGTCCGTGTCGTACTGCTCTGGCAGCAGCCCTGCCAGGGTGCGGTAGATAATGACACTGGCCACGGCCTGGCCCTCACTCAGCTCCGGATGCCTCTTGTGCCGGGTCACCAGCGCCGGCTCCTCCTCCTCCTCTGCGGAGCTGGGGGGCAGCTTGGCGCTGACCATGAGCGGGTCTGGAGGGAGAATCATGGTAGGTGAGAGCAGGGCCGGACCTTGCTCCCACGAGGGCAGCACGGACCTAGGCAAGGACCAGTCACGCCGCACTCCCTGCAATACAGGCCGGTGCCCACAGAGAGCGCCAGGTTGTGCCACGTTCCCCCAGGGCTGCAGCGGGTCTAGGATTACAGCCCAGCCCTGGGCTCCCCCACAGCTCTGCCGGTGCCCCTCACTCCCGACCTGCAGCCCCCTCAATCCCAGCCCTGGGCTCCCCCCCAGCTCTGCCGGTGCCCCTCACTCCTGACCCGCAGCCCCCTCAATCCCAGCCCTGGGCTCCCTCCCAGGCTCTGCCGGTGCCCCTCACTCCCGACCCGCAGCCCCCTCAATCCCAGCCCTGGGCTCCCCCCCAGCCCTGCCGGTGCCCCTCACTCCCGACCCGCAGCCCCCTCAATCCCAGCCCTGGGCTCCCCCCCAGCCCTGCCGCAATCCTGGGCTCCCCACAGGTGCTGCCCAGCTCCACCCCTGCTGGTGCCCCCCGGTGGGGCACTGTCACTGACTCACCTTTGCCCTCAGGCGCCCGGAAGACGGTTTCGGGGAGGATGACGGTGGTTTCCAGGTCCACGGGCTTCTCGCCCCGCAGCGCCTCGTAGTGGGGTAGCTTGGCGCCAGCGAAGTTCCCCTTGTCCAGCCGCACTACGGAGATGACTGGCGGAGAGACCCCCTCATGAGGGCCTGGGCCTGCCCCCGACGAGCTCACCCCACCCTCCTGCCCGTGCTGGCTCCAGGCCAACGTAGGGCCACGATTCTGGGAGCCCTGGAGACTCCCAGGCCCAGCCATGGGGGCGCCGAGTACCCACCCTCGCTGGCCAGGGACTGCTCAGGAGCAGGCCATGGGGTGGATAAGGCTGGGCAGCCGAATGTGGCCTGGCGCCAGGCTGGGCTCCCTCACATGCTAGGGCTCCCCTTCCAGCTCCTGGGCACAGCAGCCTGTGCCCCCGTGATGCAACAGCCAAGCCCCCAAGTGACAGTCACGCCCCCCACACGACAGCCACGCCCCTCACATGACAGCCACGCCCCCACATAACAGCCACACCCCCACGCGACAGCCACTCCCCCACACGACAGCCACTCCCCCACGTGACAGCCATGCCCTCACGTGACAACTACTCCCCCACGCGACAGCCACGCCCCCACACGACAGCCACGCCCCCACGCGACAGCCATGCCCCCCACATGACAGCCACTCCCCCAGGCGACAGCCACGCCCCCACGTAACAGCCACGCCCCCATACAACAGCCACACCCCCACATGACAGCCACTCCCCCACGCGACAGCCACGCCCTCACGTGACAACCACTCCCCCACGTGACAGCCACGCCCCCCACGTAACAGCCACGCCCCCACGTGACAGCCACTCCCCCACGTGACAGCCATGCCCTCACGTGACAGCCACGCCCCCCACATGACAGCCACGCCCCCACGCGACAGCCACGCCCCCACGCGACAGCCATGCCCCCCACATGACAGCCACGCCCCCCACATGACAGCCACGCCCCCCACGCGACAGCCATGCCCCCACGCGACAGCCATGCCCCCACGCGACAGCCACGCCCCCCACATGACAGCCACTCCCCACACATGACAGCCATGCCCTCACACGACAGCCACACCCCCACGCGACAGCCAAACCCCCACACGACAGCCACGCCCCCCACATGACAGCCATGCCCCCCACGCGACAGCCACGCCACCAGTGCACCGCCCTCACCGATGTTGGGCGTGACGAGGGTGAAGGGGCTCAGGTAGGTCTGGCGCAGGTTCTGGGCCAGGGTGCTGGCGTAATCCTCATAGCACTTCAGCAGCCAGGCCGTGCCGCCCTCCGTCTGCTGGATCAGCTCCCAGTGGCGCTTGTTGCTGGGGCCCAGCAGGGCACTGCCCACCTGCAGCAGGTTCTGCGGGGGGGCACCATGAGCATGGGGCCCTGCTGGGCTGACACACTGGGCACCCCCGGGTGGGGGTCCAGAGCACGGGCCTGGCTCGGCATTGCGGCAGGCTCGTCGCCATGGTGACCGAGCCCCTGGTCCCACCCCTCTGAGGCTGAGCCAAGGTCACGGTTCTGGTCTCAATGGGGCCACCTGAGGATCCAGCCCCATGGAGTCAGGGTGTCTGGGGCCCTGCCTGACCTGTGGGACCCACCTGCCCCTGTGGGACCCTCCCTGGCCCATCTCCCCAGCTGGGTGTTTTGCCTGTGGGTGTGAGGGGGAATCACCTGCCCCGGGCCACAAGAGCCCCTGGAGTCCCCTGGGCAGCCTGCATCAAGCGACAATGGGGCCCCACATCCTTCCCATCAGCCCCCTGTGCCTGTGCCCAGGGGCAGCCTGGACAAGCATGGCAGTGCCCAGATTCTTTCCCAGGTCCCCATGCCGGCTGCTTTGCATGGGGTCAGTCTCCAGCTCCATGGGGTCAGTTTCCCATGGGGCACATGCGTGGCCCCAGCAGGGGACCGTCCTCTGATCACAACAAGCCCCCCGTGCCCAGGAGCAGGGGCACCAAGGTCCTTACCTCCCTGGCAAATGCTACCTGAAGCCCCCACCCCTGTGCCCGCCTGGCAAGGCTTCCCCGCGCCACCCCAGCCACTCTCCCGACCCGCTGGCACCTCGGTGAAGTGGACGTCCTGTGTGGCAGCCAGGCCGAAGCCTTGCTGGTGGCTCTCGTGCTGCAGGAGGCGGGCACAGAGCTGGTACGCCACCCGCACGTCGCTGCCGAAGTAGCTGGTTGTGTGCTGGGTGGCATTGTGCAGCTGCAGGGCCATCCGCTGCACCAGCCCCAGGTCCAGGAGCGACTCGTTCCGCAGCAGCCGCTCCGCCTGCGCCAGGCAAGGCAGTCGTCAGTGCTGGGCACCGGGGAGGGGCACTGAACGTAGCCTTGGGGCTCAGCACCGGGGGAGCAGGGGGCCTCAGACTGAATACGGCCTGGGGGCTCAGGGCAGGGCGCTGGGGAGGCAGGGGAGTCCCAAGGGAGCCTAGCTGTAGAATCATAGAATATCAGGGTTGGAATGGACCTCGGGAGGTTCTAGTCCAACCCCCTGCTCAAAGCAGAACCGATCCCCAACTAAATCATCCCAGACAGGGCTTTGTCAAGCTGGGCCTTAAAAACCTCTAAGGAGGGAGATTCTACCACCTCCCTAGGTAACGCATTCCAGTGTTTCACCACCCTCCTAGTGAAAAAGTTTTTCCTAATATCCAACCTAAACCTCCCCCACTGCAACTTGAGACCATTACTCCTTGTTCTGTCATCTGCTACCACTGAGAACAGTCTAGAACCATCCTCTTTGGACCCCCTTTCAGGTAGTTGAAAGCAGCTATCAAATCCCCCCTCATTCTTCTCTTCTGCAGACTAAACAATCCCAGTTCCCTCAGCCTCTCCTCATAAGTCATGTGTTCCAGTCCCCTAATCATTTTTGTTGCCCTTTGCTGGACTCTTTCCAATTTTTCCACATCCTTCTTGTAGTGTGGGGCCCAAAACTGGACACAGTACTCCAGATGAGGCCTCACCAATGTCGAATAGAGGGGAACGATCACGTCCCTCGATCTGCTGGCTATGCCCCTACTTATACATCCCAAAATGCCATTGGCCTTCTTGGCAACAAGGGCACACTGCTGACTCATATCCAGCTTCTCGTCCACTGTCACCCCTAGGTCCTTTTCCGCAGAACTGCTGCCTAGCCATTCGGTCCCTAGTCTGTAGCGGTTCATTGGGTTCTTCCGTCCTAAGTGCAGGACCCTGCACTTATCCTTATTGAACCTCATCAGATTTCTTTTGGCCCAATCCTCCAATTTGTCTAGGTCCTTCTGTATCCTATCCCTCCCCTCCAGCGTATCCACCACTCCTCCCAGTTTAGCTGTCATGATGTCCTCCTCAAGGATGGGACTGGTCAGCTTGTGGGAAAACCCCCTCTGATTCGCTGCCTTCCCCACTGCCCTGTCTCCTGGGGAAGGGCAGCCAATCAGAGCTGCTGCAGGAAGCTGGCAGAGCTCCCCCCCCGATACCGTTCCCATGGGGGGGCACTAAACAGCCCAGTGGGTCAGCCCCCTCCACAGTGAGTGACAGGGCAGCTCCTCGGCCCCCCACCCACTTGGCCTGGCCAGAGGCAGAGGGGGGTTAAGACCCCTGAAGATGCCACTGGCCTGGTGGGGGAGAGGAGCCCCCAGCACCTCCATCCTGGGAGAGGAGGTAAAGCCTGAGGGGGGCTGGGGACAGAACTGGGGGGCCAGGATGAAGTGTGGGGCAGGGCAAGGGGAGCCTGGCAGCACCGACGGCCCCTGCACTGGGGCTGGCCAAGAGCACAACACGACCTTGTCCAAAGCGCCTGGCACTGGGGAGCCAAGTCCGGCAGCAATGACACCTGGGGCTGCCCGTACAGGGAGCACCCCAGGTCTCGCCTCGCCAGGTGGAGCAGTGCATACTGGGGCCCCCCGGAGTCACAGCCAGGGTGCTGGGAGCTGCCATGGAGGCCCTGGCAGGGCTGGGGCTGGGCTCCCCGGCTCTGTGGGCGCTGGGCAGATGCCACTCACCAGGCTCTGGAGCTGGGCGAAGGGCAGCGAGGTGCAGTTGAAGAGGTTGGGAGCCAGCCAGCCCTTGTGCTCATCACAGTGCCGCACCGCAGTGCCTGCGGGAAGAGAGCAGAGGTCACCGTGGGGGGCCCCGGCCCTGCCCACCAGCCCCTGCTGCCAGCACGGGCCAGAGACTCAGCGCCGTCCTGCACCCCTAGCGTTTGGGCAGGCAGGCACAGGGCATCACGCTGCAGCCATGGCATGAGGGCGCATCGAGCACCGTCTCCCGTCGCAGCGGCACATAGTTACCCAAGGATCCTCGGGGGCAGGGTGATGCGGCGGGCAGCCCAAAGCGGGTGCGGGGCCACCAGATGTTGGCTTCAATGGCACGGGGGCAGCTGTCGTAATTCACTGCACGGCAAAGAGGCAAATCAGAGCGAGAGCCCCGGGGCGCCCAGCAGGTGCCCCCAGCTGGGCAGGTCCAGGGGCCCAGTTTACCACAGTGTGCTCAGGAGAGCCCTGGCTGGGGGGCACAGGGGCCACGGGACAGCCCTGGGTTGGGGGGTTGCTATCACAGACCCCGCCTGGACAAGGGCCTGCCGGGCGGTGGGCAGGCAGCGGGGTCCATGGGGAGTCTGGATAACAATGGATGGGGGGATGGGACATCACCTGGGGCCATGGCCCACATCCTGGCTGGGAGACCTTGGCAACCAGTGGCCCAGGAACCCCTTCGCCAGCGTGGGGGGGGCAGGGTGCCCACAGCTCAGGGGCTATGGTCCATTCAGCCCCCAGCTGACTCTGGCCCCCCAGAGTCTCCTTTATTTCCCTACTGGGGTGGCTGTTCCCCCCACACTGCCCCCAGTCAAAATCCTGTGTCCTGGGCATGCCCCCCACTGGCATCCCGAGTGGTGCTGGGCCCTGCCGCGCCCTGGGGGGCCACATCCCGCCTCATGCTGGCAGTTGTGTCCTGCCCCTCCCTCATGGGTTGTGCCAGACATGCCATGGGGACTGTGCCCCACCTCGCGCTGGGGACCATGTCCCGCCATGCCCTGGGGGCTGGGCCCTGCCATGCCCTGGGGGCCGCACCCGCTGTGCCCTGAGGACCACGCCCGCCGTGCCACAGGGGCTGGTCTGACCTTCGCAGCCGTTGGCGGTGACCTCGGCAAAGGGGTTGTCACAGCGGTCGCAGCGTCGCCCGATGACGCCTGGCTTGCATTGGCACTGTCCTGTCTCGGGGTCGCAGAGCCGCGCCAGGGAGCCCGTGGGGTAGCAGTCACACAGCAGGCAGGAGTCGCTGGCCAGCGGGCAGTAGTGATTCTCCTGGGGGGCAGAACACAGGACTTTAGCCCCAGCGGGCAGCTGGCAGCCCTGCACAGCCAAGCCCCATCTATTGACCAGGCAGCCCATGGGCCACCACAGGGCCAGATCCACCCATTGCCCCGTGCCCCATGGGGCTCCTCTCGGTGGAGGGGAGAACAGCTCCCACCCATCCAGCTACGCTGCTGGCAGGGCACAGTTAGTGCTCTGGAGTGGGTGACACTGACTCGCTGAGACCCGCCAAACTCTGCTCACGCGTGGACCACCATGCAGCCAGCGGCCACTGCCACCGACCATGTCCCACTGCCAGCCCCTCGGCTGCCTGCTGCCCGGGGCCAAGGGCAGAGCCGTTCTACGGGGCAGGTACCACCAGAGACCAGCCCCACCTGCCCACCCCCAAGGCTGCAGAGGGCAAAAAGTCTCACATTCCATCTGGGCCCCCAACCTGCCTCATGGGAACCCCTTGCCCCTAGTGCTGCTCAACTCCCGGCCCCTGATGGAGCCCTTCTGGGAGCCCTGGGTCACTGGCACCCCCAAGCAGTGTTATCCCCCGCAGCTGGGCTGAGCACCCCCAATCCTCCTTCAGTGGTATATCCTCCCAGCTGGCCCGTGCACGCCCCCGGTCTCCCTGCAGTGGAATCTCCCCACTGCTGACCCGGGCACCCCCCAGTCCCTCTGCGGCGGGGCCTCTCCCACTCACCCGGCAGCGACACTCCCCACTGGTTTTGTTGCAGTCGGGGTCGAAGCCTTTGCTGACGTCACAGTTGCAGGGGCTGCATGTGGGGTGCCCCCACCACCCCCGCGGGCACGGCTGGTCGATCCTGTGCAGAGCAGCCCCAGCTTCGTTACCTGCCCCCCAGTGCACAGGCTGCCCCCCCCACGCCCTCGCTGGGCACCCGGCACTGGCCCGCGCGCGCTGCACCGTCCCTCCCCCCACACTCGCTCTGGGTACCACTCCCACACGCGCCTGGCCCACTCACTGCATATGCACTGCACACACAATGCCCGCAACATGCTACCAGACACTGGGCACACACTGCATGCACCCCCAGTGTACACTCAGCGTACACCTTGTCACGGAGTCCCTGGGCGATGCTCTGGAACTGCTCCCCATGAAGCCAGTCAGGACTCTGGGGCAGTCGCCTTTCTGTGAGCAGCCTGTCTTCAGGACACACAGCTCACACAGCTTCCACCTTCCTGGGTCTGACTTCAGAGCATTCAGCATCCTCTGCCCCTCCGTGCGCTTCCCGCAGCGAGTCCGCTCAGGCGGGGCTCCTGGGGAAGCCAGAGGGTCCTGCACCCCAACTTCGCAGTCAGACGTGACTCTCAGCCAGCCAGTAAAACAGAAGGTTTATTAGACGACAGGAACATGGTCTAAAACAGAGCTTGCAGGTGCAGAGAACAGGACCCCTCAGCTGGGTCCATTTTGGGGGCAGTGAGCCAGACAACCACGTCTGCCCTTCACTCCATGTCCCAGCCAGCCCCAAACTGCAACTCCCTCCAGCCCCTCCTCCTCTGGGCTTTGTTCCTTTCCCGGGCCAGGAGGGCACCTGATTCCTTTGTTCTCCAACCCTTCAGCTTTCACCTTGCAGGGGGGGAAGGGCCCAGGCCATCAGTTGCCAGGAAACAGGGTGTCGGCCATTCTCTGTGTCCAGACCCCTGCACACACCTGCCCTCTAGGGCTCTGCAATGATCATACACCCTTACTCCACCCCTAGATACTTAAGAACTGCATAGGGGAAACTGAGGCACCCCCACAATATTCGGAGGAAACATTAAGAACAGGCCCACTTCGTCACATCTCTCCCCCCTTCGAGATCGAAATGAGCGGGGTCACTTAACCCGGTGACCTGGGGAAGTTCGAAGCCACCAATGTTCCCATGGATGCCCCAGCATCTCTCCCATTCCTTGGTAGGAGTTACACCAGGCCCTTCCAGTTTCACGCCCTCCCTTAGGTCGGGGGTGGTCGATAGCACTAGCAGGCTGCATGTGGGAAGGTTTCTGCAGCCCATGCCCTTTGGCCACCCCAAAACCCCAGGGGGTCAAACTGGGATTGGGTTTTCTCCCAGAGCTCCAGTCTGGAGGGCTGCAATTCGGGCTCTCTTGGTCAAGGGCCCCCATCTTGACCTGGGCCACATACTGTTCACTTACAGAACTAGCATGGAGACATCCCTTTCTCCACAACCTTGTCTCCCCAACAAGCTGGCCAAACACAGCCACTTGGTTATAGGACGGTATACCTTTCTTAACAGCTTTCACTCCATCTGAGACCTTCTCAAAGCTATCCACACTGGATCTTTCAACAGGAAAGTCAGTGGATCCATTCACAACAGAAAATTTCTGGCTGTTAGGAACTGAAACTTTCTTGATTAAATAATTTTCACACCCTTCAGTTGCAGTAAACTGCTTGCAAAAACTCCATGAGGATTCCTTTCCCTAGGGGCTTTTCTATGCAACAATTCACCCCTCACAGAAATTCTGCTCTTACCCTCTTTACCTAGGGCTTGCTCTAGGGGAACACTTTCCTGAGCAACAACAGACTCTTTCTGGGTCTCCCTTACATCCAGAATCACCTCTGGCCCATCAGGCGGATTCCTACACAATCCCCTTTCAGGCAAACTTACAGACTTCCTAGATAAAAGGTTAGAAGCATTTTCCTTCCCTTTGCCACACACAAGTTCAGGAATCTTTTCCTCCTTGCTACAGGTTTCCACACCCTCAGTAGGTAACACAATCACACACCTTCATGCTCTCCTTGTGCCTTGGCTAGGATCTCACCCTGATTAGACAGAGTTGCTCCACCCTTTCCAACAACACACTAGCAACAGGCAAAATACAAGCACCAGAATTGTCTGGTCTCGGGGATTTTACATAGACACTAACTGGATGCGACCTAGTTACAGGACCATTCTCCCGAGCAGACAGAAACTTAGGACCCTTCCCTTCCTGGGCTTTAGCTGAATCCAGAACCAGCTCTGAGACAACTGCACGACCCTCAACCATCACAGGCTGAAAGGCCCCTTCTGTCTGCTCCACAGACCAAGAAGAGCCGGACACACTTTCTCCTTTACCAGACACACAGGTTGGGATCTCATTCCCTTTGTCCCAGCACACAAGGCTGGTCACAGACAACTGCTTGGAGATCAGGGTAGCTCCCTCCATAGGCAAGTCAATACCCCTGACAGACACAGGCACTGTTTCCTTCACTGTCCCAATTCTCCACCCAGCTAACAGGTAAGGTCCAGGGACTCTCATCTTCCACTCTCCTCGCCTTCCCACCCTGCTGACTGGACACAGCCATCAGCTCACAAGGCTGCCTAGGCTCATCCAAACTTTCCTTACCAAGCACCTTGCCACTCCCCACAGATCCCCTGCCCTGCCTGTGTCTCCCCCCACTCAGCTGGGGTCTCAGCTCCCACTGTGCTCAGCGCTGCCCTTGCTGTCCCAGTGGGGGCAGGCCACTGCTTTCCTCAATGCATCAGAGCCAGCAAGAGTCCCCACTCTTGTGTGCAAGGGGGCAGGGAGCATCTCTCTGTCCCACCCAGCCCCAGGGGTCTGGTTACAGGCAGGCAGGTAGCCTGAGCCTAGTGGCTCCTCCCTGCTGCCAGCCAGGTCATCTGCATTTTCACTGACCATTTCCCCCTCCACCGATTGGTTCCCTGGATTCAAATTCAAACCCTTGGCAGTTACAGGAGCAGGGCCTGGATCCTGTCCCAAAGAGACACAGTCACCCCACAACAGGGTCTCGCAGCTGGTGTCCTGGGGCACCCCAACGACCAGCCAGCCCCACTCCTCCTGGGTCTGCACAGGGATCTGGGCCATAGGCAGGGCGAGGGGCTTCGTCCCTGGGACCCTCACCCAGCTCACACAGGCCCTCAGCATCTGAGGCTGCACCCCCCCAGGGCCTGACACCAGTTCTCTCTGTCCCAGGATCTCACCACCCCAGGAATGTCTCCCCATTGACCGTCACCTTCCGCTCCCACTGGGGGTCCGAGGGGCCTGGCCCCAGGAAACTCCACACAGACATATAGGTTGGGGTCAGGAGTGGGAGCGTGTCCACCTCCTCACTCATCTGGCTGACGGAGTCTATGGCCTTGGGACCCAGCAAGGGAGCTAGACACCGGGGCTTTTCCGCAGGGTCCCCCTGGTTCAAATCTCCAGCCTGCTCAAAGGCAGTGAGGTGGGCATCCACATCCCACCCGCCCCCCCTTAACTAGGGGCAGCAATTTAGTCTCGAGGTTCCCTGCGGAACTGGCCCCCCGGGGTCTATCCCCACTCACCCTGGGGAGGTCCCCTAGGCCTCTCCGCTCCCCCACCGCCAGTTCATGCTGCTGCTGCTTCTGCAGCTCTTTCTCGGGCTCTCGCTGTCTCCCACGGTCCTCTTGCTCTCTCAGACTCAGCTCCAATCCCGTCCGTCTCGATCCCCCGATGGGGAACCCGATCGTGAAGACCCCCGTCTGGTCGGGGACAGGAGTCTTGGCGATGCCTGGCTCCCACTCCAGCTGCTCCCAGATCCTGCTATAGCCCCAGTTGGGGTCAGGAATCTGTTCCTTAGAGCGGTCATCCTCCTCCAGCTGCACGATTAACTCTGCTTTGGTGAACTTTCCAACGCTCAACCCTCTCTTTTTGCACAGGGTTACAATGTCCTTCTTAAGGAGACGGGGACAGGCCGTCACTCCGCTCTTCCCAAGTTGTTGTGGACTCACAGGCCCGTGTGTTCTCAGCTCCCCACGGTTTCCAGGGAGAACCCCTAGTGTGCCAGCCCTTCTCGAGGTCACCACCTCTTTGCCAGGGTCGAGCTGCAGACTCCTCCGCCCCTTGGACTGCTCACTGCAATCCCCAGGGGAACCCTGTTACTGCACAGTCCTTCTCGCTGGTCACACACTCCCAGGGGTTAACCGCCCCCCGAAACCGCTCCTCTCTGAGCCTTCAGCAGGCCTGGTCCTCGGCAATCCCTCTTCGTGTTACTGCTCCCCAGTCACTTACTGCAGGAAGCACCATCCACGGGGTGCAGTACATCCCACCGCTGCCACCAGTTGTCACGGAGTCCCTGGGCGATGCTCTGGAACTGCTCCCCATGAAGCCAGTCAGGACTCTGGGGCAGTCGCCTTTCTGTGAGCAGCCTGTCTTCAGGACACACAGCTCACACAGCTTCCACCTTCCTGGGTCTGACCTCAGAGCATTCAGCATCCTCTGCCCCTCCGTGCGCTTCCCGCAGCGAGTCCGCTCAGGCGGGGCTCCTGGGGAAGCCAGAGGGTCCTGCACCCCAACTTCGCAGTCAGACGTGACTCTCAGCCAGCCAGTAAAACAGAAGGTTTATTAGACGACAGGAACATGGTCTAAAACAGAGCTTGCAGGTGCAGAGAACAGGACCCCTCAGCTGGGTCCATTTTGGGGGCAGTGAGCCAGACAACCACGTCTGCCCTTCACTCCATGTCCCAGCCAGCCCCAAACTGCAACTCCCTCCAGCCCCTCCTCCTCTGGGCTTTGTTCCTTTCCCGGGCCAGGAGGGCACCTGATTCCTTTGTTCTCCAACCCTTCAGCTTTCACCTTGCAGGGGGGGAAGGGCCCAGGCCATCAGTTGCCAGGAAACAGGGTGTCGGCCATTCTCTGTGTCCAGACCCCTGCACACACCTGCCCTCTAGGGCTCTGCAATGATCATACACCCTTACCCCACCACCTAGATACTTAAGAACTGCATAGGGGAAACTGAGGCACCCCCACAATATTCGGAGGAAACATTAAGAACAGGCCCACTTCGTCACACACCTGCACTTCACGCACTGCCAGCGTACACCAACATTGCACGCACACCTCGCATACACCCAGCTTACACCTTCACTGCGTGCACACACTGCGTACACCCAGGGTAGGCTTGCACTGCACACACCCCCAACGTACACCAGCGTACACCTGCATTGAACGCACCCCCAACGTACACCAGCGTACACCTTGTGACGCAGCAGGAAGGGGGGAGTGTTCACCTGGGAATGTGGCAGGGGAGTTTCGCTGGGAGACCTGAGAGCCTGTAACCTGAGCCGGGAGGGAGGGGGAGGTAACACCTCTGCCCAGGAATGTGAACGGAGGCTGCAGGAGGGAACCTGCTGGGGGGGTTAGTTTCAGTTTGGGGCTGGGTGGAGGAACGCAGGGAACCCCAGGGCTGGGGTCTAAGCTCCCTGCTCCCCCAGAAGGACTTGACTGAGGGGTCCTGGTTGTACCCACAAGCTCTGTTTTGGACTGTGTTCCTGTTGTCCAATAAACCTTCTGTTTTACTGGCTGGCTGAGAGTCTCAGTGAATCCCAGGAAGAGGGGTGCAGGGCCTGGACTCCCCCACACTCCGTGACACACCTACACTGCATGCACACCCAGCGTACACCTGCACTCTAAGCACCCCCAATGTACACCCATCATACACCTGCACTGCATGCAAAGCCAGCATACACCCAGCACACACATGCACTGCACACAACCCTAATGTACACCCAGCACACACCTGCACTGCACGTTGTGACGAAGTGGGACTGTTCTTAATGTTTCCTCTGAATAGTGTGGGGGTGCCTCAGTTTCCCCTAGGCAGTTCTTAAGTATCTAGGGGGTGGAGTAAGGGTGTATGATCATTGCAGAGCCCTAGAGGGCAGGTGTGTGAAGGGGTCTGGACACAGAGAATGGCCGACACCCTGTTTCCTGGCAACTGATGGCCGGGGCCCTTCCCCCCCTGCAAGGTGAGAGCTGAAGGGTTGGAGAACAAAGGAATCAGGTGACCACCTGGCCCGGGAAAGGAACAAAGCCCAGAGGAGGAGGGGCTGGAGGGAGTGTCAGTTTGGGGCTGGCTGGGACATGGAGTGAAGTGCAGACGTGGTTGTCTGGCTCACTACCCCCCAAAATGGACCCAGCTGAGGGGTCCCGTTCTCTGCACCTGCAAGCTCTGTGTTAGACCATGTTCCTGTCGTCTAATAAACCTTCTGTTTTACTGGCTGGCTGAGAGTCACGTCTGACTGTGAAGTTGGGGTGCAGGACCCTCTGGCTTCCCCAGGAGCCCCGCCTGAGCGGACTCGCTGTGGGAAGCGCACGGAGGGGCAGAGGATGCTGAATGCTCCGAGGTCAGACCCAGGAAGGTGGAAGCTGTGTGAGCTGTGTGTCCTGAAGACAGGCTGCTCACAGAAAGGCGACTGCCCCAGAGTCCTGACTGGCTTCATGGGGAGCAGTTCCAGAGCATCGCCCAGGGACTCCGTGACAACTGGTGGCAGCGGTGGGATGTACTGCACCCCGTGGATGGCGCTTCCTGCAGTAAGTGACTGGGGAGCAGTAACACGAAGGGGGATTGCCGAGGACTAGGCCTGCTGAAGGCTCAGAGAGGAGCGGTTTCGGGGGCGGTTAACCCCTGGGAGTGTGTGACCAGCGAGAAGGACTGTGCAGTAGCAGGGTTCCCCTGGGGATTGCAGCAAGCAGTCCAAGGGGCGGAGGAGTCTGCAGCTCGACCCTGGCAAAGAGGTGGTGACCTCGAGAAGGGCTGGCACACTAGGGGTTCTCCCTGGAAACCGTGGGGAGCTGAGAACACACGGGCCTGTGAGTCCACAACAACTTGGGAGGAGCGGAGTGATGGCCTGTCACTGTCTCCTTAAGAAGGACATTGTCACCCTGTGCAAAAAGAGAGGGTTGAGCGTTGGAAAGTGCACCAAAGCAGAGTTAATCGTGCAGCTGGAGGAGGATGACCGCTCTAAGGAACAGATTCCTGACCCCAACTGGGGCTATAGCAGGATCTGGGAGCAGCTGAAGCGGGAGCCAGGCATCGCCAAGACTCCTGTCCCCGACCAGACGAGGGTCTTCACGATCGGGTTCCCCATCGGGGGATCGAGACGGACGGGATTGGAGCTGAGTCTGAGAGAGCAAGAGGACTGTGAGAGACAGCGAGAGCCCGAGAAAGAGCTGCAGAAGCAGCAGCAGCATGAACTGGCGGTGGGGGAGCGGAGAGGCCTAGGGGACCCCTCAGGGGTGAGTGGGGATAGACCCCGGGGGGCCAGTTCCGCAGGGAACCTCGAGACTAAATTGCTGCCCCTGGTTAAGGGGGGGGTTTGGATGCCCACCTCACTGCCTTTGAGCAGGCTGGCGATTTGAACCAAGGGGACCCTGCGGAAAAGCCCCAGTGTCTAGCTCCCTTGCTGGGTCCCAAGGCCTTAGACTCCGTCAGCCAGATGGTTGCGGATGTGGACAGGCTCCCACTCCTGACCCCAACCTATATGTCTGTGTGGAGTTTCCTGGGGCCAGGCCCCCGGACCTCCAGTGGGAGCAGAAGGTGATGGTCAATGGGGAGACATTCTTGGGGTGGCCAAAGGGCATGGGCTGCATAAACCTTCCCACATGCGGCCTGCAAGTGCTATCGACCACCCCTGACCTAAGGGAGGGCGTGAAACTGGAAGGGCCTGGTGTAACTCCTACCAAGGAATGGGAGAGATGCTGGGGCATCCATGGGAATGTTGGTGGCTTCGAACTTCCCCAGGTCACCGGCTAAAGTGACCCCGCTCAGTTCGATCTCGAAGGGGGGAGAGATGTGACGAAGTGGGACTGTTCTTAATGTTTCCTCTGAATAGTGTGGGGGTGCCTCAGTTTCCCCCAGGCAGTTCTTAAGTATCTAGGGGGTGGAGTAAGGGTGTATGATCATTGCAGAGCCCTAGAGGGCATGTGTGTGAAGGGGTCTGGACACAGAGAATGGCCGACACCCTGTTTCCTGGCAACTGATGGCCGGGGCCCTTCCCCCCCTGCAAGGTGAGAGCTGAAGGGTTGGAGAACAAAGGAATCAGGTGACCACCTGGCCCGGGAAAGGAACAAAGCCCAGAGGAGGAGGGGCTGGAGGGAGTGTCAGTTTGGGGCTGGCTGGGACATGGAGTGAAGTGCAGACGTGGTTGTCTGGCTCACTACCCCCAAAATGGACCCAGCTGAGGGGTCCCGTTCTCTGCACCTGCAAGCTCTGTGTTAGACCATGTTCCTGTCGTCTAATAAACCTTCTGTTTTACTGGCTGGCTGAGAGTCACGTCTGACTGCGAAGTTGGGGTGCAGGACCCTCTGGCTTCCCCAGGAGCCCCGCCTGAGCGGACTCGCTGTGGGAAGCGCACGGAGGGGCAGAGGATGCTGAATGCTCCGAGGTCAGACCCAGGAAGGTGGAAGCTGTGTGAGCTGTGTGTCCTGAAGACAGGCTGCTCACAGAAAGGCGACTGCCCCAGAGTCCTGACTGGCTTCATGGGGAGCAGTTCCAGAGCATCGCCCAGGGACTCCGTGACACACGTACACACTCACTGCCTACATCTGCACTGCACGCACACCCAGCACACACCTGCACTGCACGTACACACTCACTGCCTACATCTGCACTGCACGCACACCCAGCACACACCTGCACTGCACGCACACACTCACTGCCTACATCTGCACTGCACGCACACCCAGCACACACCTGCACTGCACGTACACACTCACTGCCTACATCTGCACTGCACGCACACCCAGCACACACCTGCACTGCACGTACACACTCACTGCCTACATCTGCACTGCACGCACACCCAGCACACACCTGCACTGCACGCACACACTCACTGCCTACATCTGCACTGCACGCACACCCAGCACACACCTGCACTGCACGCACACACTCACTGTGCACATGCACACACATACACAATCACTGCATAACCTGCACAGCACACACAAACACTGTGCATCTAAACTGCACACACACAATGTACACACACTCATTGTGAACACCTGCACGGCACACACACACACACAATCACTGAGTATACCCACATGCCATGCACACACACGTGCTACATACATTTCTACCAGGTGCACACACAGCATATACGTGCAGTGCGTATGCCTGTACAGCATGCACACACCCACCCTGAGTGTGCACGAACACTGCACACAGCCACACACATATTTACTGAACATACCTGCATAGGGCACTCACTCCATAGCTCTGCATTGCACACGCCCACACATACAGCGTACACCTGCATGGTGCTCGCTCTCACACACATACACACTGTGTACAGCTGTACAGCACACAGAGTACACACCTCCACTGTGCACACACTCACACTCACACTCCCTGCATACACCTGCACTGCACACCCCCCCCACACACACTGTGTGCGCACACCAGTCCTATGCCCACACAGCGCGTCTACATGCACGGCAGACGCACGCCCCGTGTCCCGGCATCTCACTTGTTTTCGCAGTAGGGGCCGAAGTAGCCGGGGGGACACTCGCAGATGTAGCCGTGCGGGGCGCTGGGCGTGCGAGTGCACGTGGCCTGGTGCTCACAGGGGTTGAGGGCACACACGTGGGCACAGCTGTCTCCATAATAACCTGGGGCAGGAAGGAGGAGATGCCTGGAGGTTCAGTGTCCCGCTGCCCCAGCCCAGGGCTCCCACGGCCGCCCGCCCCTGCTGGCTGAGAAGGAGTGATGCTCTGCGTGCAGTACAGCCGGGCAGCCTTGGCCGGAGCTGTCCTCCAAGGGGCTGGCCAGCCTTGGGGTGCCCCTTGCGTGTGATCAGCCCCAGAGCCGCTGGCCTGAGCGCCCCACGGCTCCCCAGCCTGGCTGAGATGTGCCCCGCTGATCCCAAGGGGCTCCTGGGGCGGGGCAAATACCCTGAAGATGCACAGGGATCACCAGGCAGCATGTGACCCCCCTGATGCGGGCACTGAAGGGCAGGGAACACTGCCCCCCGCCCAGTTCTTGCCCCTCACCTGGGTCACAGCTGCAGGAGAAGCTGTCCCAGTCGTCATTGCAGTAGCTGTTGGCCGGGCAGGGGCTGGAGTCGCAGGGGTCAGGGATGCTGCAGCCGTGCTCCACGCTCACCCGCTCAGCCTGGTTCACGTTCAGGGCCACGGCACTGGCCAACGTCTCGCCGATCCGCACCCCCTGCCAGGGCACGAGGGGCTCCGGTGAGCCTGGCATTGGCCCCGCCCCCCTCTGCCCCCCTCAGAGTGGGCCTGGAGCCCCCCTGAGAATGGGCCGAGAGCCCCCCGCCCCAGAACGGGCCCAGAGGCCCGGAGAATCAGCCCAGAGCCCCCGCGAGAACAGACCTGGAGCACCACTGAGAACGGGCACAGACCCCCTCCCCCCAGAACGAGCCCACAGCCCACCAAGAATCAGCCCAGAGCCCCCCCAAGAATGGGCCCACAGCCCCCCTGAGAACAGGCCCAGAGCCCCCCCCCAAGAATGGGCCTGGAGCTTCCCTGGTAGCCCCCCAGCAGGGGGCTGGGTTCCACCATCACCCCCTTGTTTGCGTGTTTCACGCTGTACCCCAGACCCAGCAGCAGAGGATGGAAACCAGCCCCCAAGGGCCCAACTGTGTGGCAGGCTGTAGCTGCCAGGACTGGCCACTAGAGGACGCCACAGTCTGACCCTGGGACTTGGGGCTGGCGGGTGCCCGCGGACAGTGGTGGGGCTGCCCGAGAGCCAGGGACTGTAGGTCTGGCCGTGATGCTGCCATTACCTGCCCGCCCAGGTGCCAGGTCCCAGCCCGATGGGCCCATCCCCCGGCTGGCACCCAGAGGAAGGTATGAACCCCCCGGCGCCCCCCGGTACCTGCATGCAGCCGCGGAATCCCTGCTGCACCCGGCCCCCCGCGCCCGCCACGCCGCCCACGCTCAGGTTCCCCAGCTTCAGCCCCTGCAGCTCGCTGCCGACGACCTCCAGCACCTGCCAGAGAGACCGGTGAGCGCTGGGCCCTGCAGAGCTCAGGGAGCCCAGGACTGGGAGAGCAGGGCGGGGGCTGTGGGTCGGGAGTGAGGGGCACCGGCAGAGCTGGGGGGTGGGGGGAACCCAGGGATGGGACTGAATGGGCTGTGGGTCGGGAGTGAGGGGCACCGGCAGAGCTGCGGGGGAGCCCAGGGGTGGGATTGAGGGGGCTGTGGGTCGGGAGTGAGGGGCACCGGCAGAGCTGGGGGGTGGGGGGAACCCAGGGATGGGACTGAGTGGGCTGTGGGTCGGGGCTGAGGGGCGCCGGTGGAGTGGGGAGCCCAGGGGCGGGATTGAGGGGGCTGTGGGTCGGGAGTGAGGGGCACCGGCAGAGCTGCGGGGGAGCCCAGGGGTGGGATTGAGGGGGCTGCGGGTCGGGGCTGAGGGGCGCCGGTGGAGTGGGGAGCCCAGGGGCGGGATTGAGGGGGCTGCGGGTCGGGGCTGAGGGGCACCGGTGGATCGGGGAGTCCAGGGTGTCTCTGTTGCTCTCACCCTGGCTCTGTTGTTGGCCCCAAAATTCAGTTCAAATGTGAAGAAACAGACACAAGGTTTAAAGGAACGACAGTGACGACGCCCCCTCCCCCACGCCTTGCCCAGCCCCCCATCCTGCCCCCTACACCCTCCCCCAGGGCCCATCACACCCCAAACGCCTTGCCCCCACCCCTCTTCCCCCCTGCACCTGCCCCCCATCCTCCGCCCCCAACACGTCGCCTAGCCCCCCATCCTGGCCCCCACCCTTCACCCAGCCCCCCTTCCGCCCCTCCCCCCCTTATCCTGCCCAGACCCCCTTTGTCCCAGCCCCCGGTTTGTCTCGGCCTCACCCGCTGCTCTGCACCCTCCATGCCCAGCTCTGTGCCCGCCAGCCCCCGCACCTGGTGCAGGCCGTAGTCGAGGGACAGGACAGCCAGGCCCTCGGCCTCCGCGCTCTCCCGCCCGGGCCGCAGCTCCAGCTGCAAGTGATGCCAGCCGCCATCGTTCACCTTCACCTGGCGCAGCTGGAGCGCCCAGCCACGGCCGCCAGGCTGGGCGACGCTCATCAGCACGTGCCCCTCGCTCAGCTGGAAGAAACCAGAGGGGGCGGGGGCAGTGAAGGGAGTAGGGGGCCGGGGGGCAGTGGGGCAGGAACGGGAGGGAGCAGGGGGAAGCAGTGGGCAGTGGGGGGAGCAGGGGGTAGAGAGGCAGTGGGGGAGCGAGTTGGGAGCAGGGGGGCAACGGGTTCCAGGGGGCAGTGAGGGGAGCAGTGGTCTGGGGTCCCGGCTGCTGGGACGTGCCCAGTGGGTGGCTCTCGAGGGCCCATGGGTGGATGCTCAGACTCTGGGCAGGGGCCCCTGGGGATGGGAAGTGTCTCCCAGATCCGGGTGCTCCCACCTGCACCAGTGCAAGGGGCCCTGGGATGGGCAGTGTTAGCTGGAGGCCAGTGGGGCATGTGGGACCGTTCCCAGCCCCGCCTCTCGCAGCCCATGTGGGGCCGATGCCAGGGGGCCCGAGCGCTCTGGCACCAGCCCAGCAGAGGGGGGTGCATCACTTCCCTGGGCACCGTGCCAAGAATGGGCCCCGCCCTCACCTGGGCAGTAGGGGGGTCAAGGTCCTGCATCCCCCAGGCTCTGGCACCCGCAGGGAGTCCCTATGGGCTGACGGCCCCTCCCGCCGTGGCACCCACCAGCCGAGCGATGACCCCTCCCCCCGTGGCACCCGCCTGCCGGGCGACGACCCCTCCCCCCGTGGCACCCGCCTGCCAGGCGACAGCCCCTCCCCCCATGGCACCCACCTGCTGGGCAACGGCCCCTCCCCCGTGGCAGCCGCCTGCCGGTGCCCTACCTGCAGGGTGATGGTGGAGAGCTGCCCAGCCAGGGCCCGCAGGAGGACGCCGTGGGCCTGGCGGGTGCGGAACATGAGCCCCATGTGCCAGGGCAGCGAGATGCTCAGGGCCGGGTCACTCCAGGCCACCAGGCTGCTGCCCAGGAATCGCTGGGGATTCGCCATCTCTGCAGGAGACACCAGCTCAGCCCATGGGGCCTGCTGCCTCTACAACAGGGGCCCGCAGCCCCGCCCCCCCAAAGAGCCATGCAGGGGCCTGGAGCGGGTCTGGAGGGGCCTTGCATCCTGGGGACCAGCACTCGGGCAGTGGTTTGTGGCTCCAGCTTTGTCCTAGAGCCCCCCGCCTGCCCCCTCCGAGCCCCCCGCCTGCCCCCCAAACCTCCTGCCTGTCCCCCCCCGGAACCCCCGCCTGTCCCCTCCCCTGCGAGCCCTCCGCCTGCCCCTGCCCTGAACCCCCAGCCTGTCCCCGCTGGAGCCTCCCGCCTGGTCCCGAGCCCCCTACCTTGCCTGCAGTTGTTGCCCCCAAAGCCCAGGGGGCACTCGCAGCTGAACGTGTCCCACTGGTTGACGCAGGTGCCCCCATTGTGGCAGGTGTTGCTGTCACAGACGTTCTTCTTGGCAGAGCAGCCTGGGGGGGTGAGAGCCAGGCTGAGCCCCGGCTGATGGGAAGCGTTCCCCAGGGACAAGGGGCAGGTGACGCTTTGGGGCTCAGGGAGGGGCACAGACCCAATGGCAGCCCCTTCCCAGGGTCTGAACCCCATGACTGAGGGCAGAGGTACGCCCAGAACCCATGCCGCTTGGCTCGGCACACACACCTCTGTTGCACCCCCATCCTGCGGTACAGGACACTTTGCCCCCCAGCTCCTATCCCAGAGACCCCCCTAACTTAGGGACCACCCAGCACCCACGAGGCATGGTGCCCCCCAGCTCCTATCCCAGAGCCCCCCCTAAATCAGGGACTACCCAGCACCCACGAGGCACGGTGCCCCCTGGCTCCTATCCCAGAGACCCCCCTAACTCAGGGACCACCCAGCACCCACCCAGCATGGTGCCCCTCAGCTCCTATCCCAGAGACCCCCCTAATTCAGGGACCACCCAGCACCCACCCGGCAAGGTGCCCCCCGGCTCCTATCCCAGAGCCCCCCAACTCAGGGACCACCCAGCACCCATGCGGCACAGTGCCCCCCAGCTCCTATCCCAGAGACCCCCCTAAGCCAGGGACTACCCAGCACCCATGAGGCACGGTGCCCGCCGGCTCCTATCCCAGAGCCCCCCCTAACTCAGGGACCACCCAGCACCAACGCAGCATGGTGCCCCCCGGCTCCTATCCCAGAGGCCCCCCCCGGAGCTGCCCAGCACCCACCCGGCACGGTGCCATTGTTGGCGATGAAGTCAGCCATGTCCAGCTGGCGATTATCGATCAGCAGGTTCCGGATGCAGCCCACAAACTGCCGGTTGCGCACCGGGAAGCTCTCTGGCAGGTCGGGGACCCCCCCCAGGAGCAGGGGGCCCGTCAGATCCAGGGACCTGGGCAATGGAAGCAGAGTCATACGGGGACATGACCATGCGGTGGGGATTCCTCCCCATTCACTATCCTGAGCCAGGCACCGGAAAACCCTCCCCTGCCTGGTGCTGGGCTGGCAGGGGCTGCGAGTCGGGAGTGAGGGGCACCGACTGAGCGGGGGGGGCAGGGCTGGCAGGGGCTGCGGGTTGGGAGTGAGGGGCACTGACGGAGTGGGGGGGCAGGGCTGGCAGGGGCTGCGGGTTGGGAGTGAGGGGCACTGACGGAGTCGGGGGGGCAGGGCTAGCAGGGGCTGCGGGTCGGGAGTGAGGGGCACTGACGGAGTCGGGGGGGCAGGGCTAGCAGGGGCTGCGGGTCGGGAGTGAGGGGCACTGATGGAGTCGGGGGGGCAGGGCTAGCAGGGGCTGCGGGTTGGGAGTGAGGGGCAGCAGCAGGTCTGTGCAGAAGCCGCTTGGCTTTCGCTCCTCGGGGCCCCAGCGAGTCTCTTACTTCTTGGTGCCCGACTGCGTCCCCTGCGCGGAGCAGGAATAGTTCCCCAGCACCTGGCCAAACTTCAGGGCCACAGCCGCGTCGCAGTCATCCACCGTCACCACGGCCACCTTCTGCTCCGAGGGGCCCTGGGGCACCCCCGACTTCCCAATGACGGGCTGTGAAGAGAGCAAAACCCCAGGGTGCAGCAGGTGGCTGGGGCAGGGCATGCGGCACAATCCGCACCTCCCTGGCCCAAGGGATTTGGGCACCAGTCAGACCTTCGCTGCCATCCCATCGTGAGAGCAGCCCAGCAGCCTCCTCCCCGAATGGGGCCGCACCCCAGAGAAGAGGAGTCCCCAGCACTCCTGGGACCCAGATCTCGGCCTGCCCCTGCCCGCGGGAAGCGGCTGGAGAGTGACAAGACGGGAACCGGCTGGCAGCCTGCGGGCATGTGGGGTCGGGGAGAGTAGCAGCCCCAGGAGCTGCCAGCAGAGCCGCTTTGCCATCACCCACCCGGCCAGCTCATGGCCCGACCTTCTCCTGGCCGCTCCCTGCCCAGCCAGGCCCATGGGAAGCTGGCCCTGCCATGGCCCTGTGGGAGTCAGGCTCCAGGACTCCCATCCCTCAGGCAGTGCAGTGAGTGCCTGTGACCAAGTGGGAATTTTGATGCCTATGTGTGCCTCAGTTTCCCCAGTATTCTGCATGGTACTGGGGGCGTGTCTGCTCTCAGGACAGGCTAAGAGACACAGGTGAATGGTGCCCAGCTATCTGCACTGGGTGAGCTGTGGCGACCCCATCTCAGCCAGCCCCCAGGCCAGCGACACCTGGCGCCCAGTGCCCCAAAGGGGATGGATTCCCCGCCCCTCCACAGGGCAAATGGGTTACCCCCCCCCGAGGCAGGAGGGAGTGGGAGAGGAGAGGGAGCAGAGCTGGCTGCGGGTCCCTTGGAACAGGGCGAGGACAGATGGACGGACAGAGCCTGACCAAGGGGAGCTTGGCTGGGCTCTGGGCTCACAGCAGCCGGCACTTGACCCCTTGCTCTGCTGTGCCCAGTGGGTGGGTAAACCCACATGGTGCCGGCAAATGGCACTAATCCCAGCTGAGCCGCCACGTCTCCGCCAGGAGGCTGCCTCGGGCCCTGGCCACGCGGGACACGCCGGAGAGCCAGTGTAGACACCAGCTGTGCCCGCGGGAGGGGCTCTCCCGTTGCTGCCGATCATCTGCCTCCCGCCCCCAGCGACCTGGTGCCATCTGCATCCATCCATTTCGCGCTGCCCCATGGATGGCTCGGGGCAGCCCTCAGCCAGACTTGTGGGGCAGAACTCCTGGCGTGAGACCTTGGGGCCCGCCCTGGGCAGGAGACTGGGAGCCCTGGGATTGGGGCCTCCACCCCTCCCCCAAGAACCCCTCCCCCTGGACCAAGAGCCTCAGATGCTTCCCGCGGGTCCCACCCCACAATTGCCTCCTCCAGCTCTCTGAGGCCCCAGGACAGGAGCCTGCCCCCCGCCCCCGCCCCCAGCCAGCTGAGAATTGAGGGGGCTGGGGGGGGATGCAGCGAGCTCAGCACCAGGGTCAGCCCGTAGCGAGGGAGGGGCTGGGCTGGGCCAGGGGCCCAGCGCTGCCTCCTGGGGGGCTCTGCTGGGACCTCTGACTGCCTTGGTGATCGCCTCAGCTCCCCTGACCGTGGCGTGGCTGGCAGGCACGGCACTGACAGGCAGCTGCCCGGATGCCCTGCCCTCCGGGTGCCCGCCGGCCCCGCCCCACTCACCTTGTTGTAGTACCGCAGCCGGACCGTGTGCCACTGGCCATCGCTCACGCCGCCCGGCACGGACGGGGACACCGTGGTGGTCGACTCGCCTGGGGGGAGCAGGGGACGCTGGTTACTGCGGGGCCCTGGCGAGAGGGGCACCCCAGGGGATGGGGGGAGCCACGGCCTGAGGTGGGCCAGGGAACCCAGAGCTCCCCCCCCGGCAGCAGGGAGCTGGGCCCTGAGAGGGGAGCAGGGCCTGGGGGCAGAGGGCTCTGCGGGGGGCTGCACGCCCAGGAGCCAGAGGGAGCCAGGGGGTGAGGGGAGGCAGGCCCAGGGGAACTGAGAGCCAGGGCAGCTGGGGTGAGGGGTGGGGAGGGCTGGTGGGCCAAGGGGAGCCAGGCCGGGGCCGAGGGGAGCCAGGGCCCGGGCCGAGGGGAGCCGGGTCATGGGGAGCCGGGCCGAGAGGAGCCAGGCCGGGGCCGAGGGGAGCCAGGGCCCGGGCCAAGGGGAGCCGGGTCATGGGGAGCCGGGCCGAGAGGAGCCAGGCCCGGGGCCGAGGGGAGCGGGGCCCGGCCAGGCCCTACCTGCCGAGAAGGTGAACTGGATCTGCTCGTGGATGATCTCCAGGGCCACGAAGTCATGCTTCTCGTTGAAGCGCCCGTTGTACAGGAGCAGCCCGTTCCGCTCCTTCGTGGCGAACCTGCCCGCGGGGGAGAGGATGAGAACAGCGTCCCCCACAACACACCCCCTGGATCCCCTGCCCTCACGCCTGACAGGCTGAGAGAGCCCAACCCCCCCGGGACCCTCCAAGATGGGCAGGAGCCGGTGTAGTCAATTAGTTTGTGTCAAGGTCCAGACTCCGATGTGACGAAGTGGGACTGTTCTTAATGTTTCCTCTGAATAGTGTGAGGGTGCCTCAGTTTCCCCTAGGCAGTTCTTAAGTATCTAGGGGGTGGGGTAAGGGTGTATGATCATTGCAGAGCCCTAGAGGGCAGGTGTGTGCAGGGGTCTGGACACAGAGAATGGCCAACACCCTGTTTCCTGGCAACTGATGGCCTGGGCCCTTCCCCCCTGCAAGGTGAGAGCTAAAGGGTTGGAGAACAAAGGAATCAGGTGACCTCCTGGCCCGGGAAAGGAACAAAGCCCAGAGGAGGAGGGGCTGGAGGGGGTTTTCAGTTTGGGGCTGGCTGGGACATGGAGTGAAGTGCAGACGTGGTTGTCTGGCTCACTGCCCCCCAGAATGGACCCAGCTGAGGGGTCCCGTTCTCTGCACCTGCAAGCTCTGTTTTAGACCATGTTCCTGTCGTCTAATAAACCTTCTGTTTTACTGGCTGGCTGAGAGTCATGTCTGACTGCGAAGTTGGGGTGCAGGACCCTCTGGCTTCCCCAGGACCCCGCCTGGGTGGACTCGCTGGGGGAAGCACACGGAGGGGCAGAGGATGCTGAATGCTCCGAGGTCAGACCCAGGAAGGTGGAAGCTGTGTGAGCTGTGTGTCCTGAAGACAGTCTGCTCACAGAAAGGCGACTACCCCAGAATCCTGACTGACTTCATGGGGAGCAGTTCCAGAGCATCGCCCAGGGACTCCGTGACAACTGGTGGCAGCGGTGGGATGTACTGCACCCCGTGGATGGCGCTTCCTGCAGTAAGTGACTGGGGAGCAGTAACACGAAGGGGGATTGCCGAGGACCAGGCCTGCTGAAGGCTCAGAAAGGAGCGGTTTCGGGGGGCGGTTAACCCCTGGGAGTGTGTGACCAGCGAGAAGGACTGTGCAGTAATGGGGTCCCCCTGGGGACTGCAGTGAGCAGTCTCAGGGGCGGAGGAGCCTGCAGCTTGGCCCGGGGAGAGAGAAGGACTTTTGCAGTAACAGGGTTCCCCTGGGGATTGCAGCGAGCAGTCCAAGGGGCGGAGGAGTCTGCAGCTCGACCCTGGCAAAGAGGCGGTGACCTCGAGAAGGGCTGGCACACTAGGGGTTCTCCCTGGAAACCGTGGGGAGCTGAGAACACACGGGCCTGTGAGTCCACAACAACTTGGGAGGAGCGGAGTGATGGCCTGTCACCGTCTCCTTAAGAAGGACATTGTAACCCTGTGCAAAAAGAGAGGGTTGAGCGTTGGAAAGTTCACCAAAGCAGAGTTAATCGTGCAGCTGGAGGAGGATGACCGCTCTAAGGAACAGATTCCTGACCCCAACTGGGGCTATAGCAGGATCTGGGAGCAGCTGAAGCGGGAGCCAGGCATCGCCAAGACTCCTGTCCCCGACCAGACGGGGGTCTTCACGATCGGGTTCCCCATCGGGGGATCGAGACGGACGGGATTGGAGCTGAGTCTGAGAGAGCAAGAGGACTGTGAGAGACAGCGAGAGCCCGAGAAAGAGCTGCAGAAGCAGCAGCAGCATGAACTGGCGGTGGGGGAGCGGAGAGGCCTAGGGGACCCCCCCAGGGGTGAGTGGGGATAGATCCCGGGGGGCCAGTTCCGCAGGGAACCTCGAGACTAAATTGCTGCCCCTGGTTAAGGGGGGGGGGTTTGGATGCCCACCTCACTGCCTTTGAGCAGGCTGACGATTTGAACCAGGGGGACCCTGCGGAAAAGCCCCGGTGTCTAGCTCCCTTGCTGGGTCCCAAGGCCATAGACTCCGTCAGCCAGATGGTTGGGGATGTGGACAGGCTCCCACTCCTGACCCCAACCTATATGTCTGTGTGGAGTTTCCTGGGGCCAGGCCCCTCGGACCTCCAGTGGGATCAGAAGGTGATGGTCAATGGGGAGACATTCTTGGGGTGGCCAAAGGGCATGGGCTGCATAAACCTTCCCACATGCGGCCTGCGAGTGCTATCGACCACCCCTGACCTAAGGGAGGGTGTGAAAATGGAAGGGCCTGGTGTAACTCCTACCAAGGAATGGGAGAGATGCTGGGGCATCCATGGGAACGTTGGTGGCTTCGAACTTCCCCAGGTCACCGGCTAAAGTGACCCCGCTCAGTTCGATCTCGAAGGGGGGAGAGATGTGACGAAGTGGGACTGTTCTTAATGTTTCCTCTGAATAGTGTGAGGGTGCCTCAGTTTCCCCTAGGCAGTTCTTAAGTATCTAGGGGGTGGGGTAAGGGTGTATGATCATTGCAGAGCCCTAGAGGGCAGGTGTGTGCAGGGGTCTGGACACAGAGAATGGCCAACACCCTGTTTCCTGGCAACTGATGGCCTGGGCCCTTCCCCCCTGCAAGGTGAGAGCTAAAGGGTTGGAGAACAAAGGAATCAGGTGACCTCCTGGCCCGGGAAAGGAACAAAGCCCAGAGGAGGAGGGGCTGGAGGGGGTTTTCAGTTTGGGGCTGGCTGGGACATGGAGTGAAGTGCAGACGTGGTTGTCTGGCTCACTGCCCCCCAGAATGGACCCAGCTGAGGGGTCCCGTTCTCTGCACCTGCAAGCTCTGTTTTAGACCATGTTCCTGTCGTCTAATAAACCTTCTGTTTTACTGGCTGGCTGAGAGTCATGTCTGACTGCGAAGTTGGGGTGCAGGACCCTCTGGCTTCCCCAGGACCCCGCCTGGGTGGACTCGCTGGGGGAAGCACACGGAGGGGCAGAGGATGCTGAATGCTCCGAGGTCAGACCCAGGAAGGTGGAAGCTGTGTGAGCTGTGTGTCCTGAAGACAGTCTGCTCACAGAAAGGCGACTACCCCAGAATCCTGACTGACTTCATGGGGAGCAGTTCCAGAGCATCGCCCAGGGACTCCGTGACACCAGACTCCAGAGAAAAAAATAACAATAATGATAATAAGTAAAGGAAAAGATTTCGGGGTCTGTTCAAAAGCATCTGACTGTCCAGATTTGGCCTACTGTCCCCTGCTGACGAACCCTGGGCATGAGCATGGCCAGAGGACTGGTGCATGGAGGCACCTTGGCCTGGGTGGGGAATGGATGGCATCAGGGCACAGAATTAAGGTGGGTGTCGGGCATAGTTAAGGGGGTGTTGAGGCAGAGTTAAGGGGGCACTGAGACAGAGTTAACGGGGCGGCATCCAGGCAGAGTTAAGATGGGTGCTGGACCAGAGTTAAAGGGGTCATCGGGTCAGCATTTAGGGGGGCATTGGGACAGAGAGAAGGGGTGCATCTGGTCAGAATTAAAGGGGCATCAGAGCAGAGATAAGGGGGGAGAATTAAGGTGATGGGCCCCCATGGAGTGTGCTCCCTGTGCAGTGAGGCATGAGTTCAAGGCTGGGTAGTGGCGATCCCATCTTTGGTCGCCCCACAGCAATCGGAGTATAAAGGTGGCCATGGGCCTGGCTCCACCGTGCTCCCTGATCCCCCCTCCCCGTCAGAGATCAGAGGAGTGGCGAGGAGCCTGCAGAGCCTGCAGCAGCCCTGCATGCGTGGGGAGAAGCTGGGCAAGGTCCAGGGCCTGTGCCATGGCAGCCTCACCTCCCTGAGGGCCAGAGACTCTGGGGCTGCTGGGCTGGTTCTGGGGCTCCCTCAGCCCCACGGGGGCCAAGAAGAATGAATATAATGGGGCTGGGACAGCAGGGGCTGTGGGTTGGGACTGAGGGGCCGGTGAGCGTGGTACATGGACGTACCAGTGACACAGGGAAAGGCAGGTACGGGGGGGGTATGGCTGGATGGGGGCACAGGGGGGTATGGCTGGACGGGAGTATGGGGTGGGTATGGCTCAATGGGGATAGAGGGGGTATGGCTGGATGGGGGTAGGGAGGATGGTTTGACTGGATGGGCTACAGAGGGGGGTATGGCTGGAAGGGGGTGCAGAGGGGTTATGGCTGGATGGGGGCACAGGGGGAGTATGGCTGGATGGGGGTAGGGAGGAGGGTATGGTTGGACAGGGGTATAGAGGGGGTATGGTTGGATGGGGGTATGGAGGGTGGTATGGCTCAATGGGGATACGGGGGGTATAGCTGGATGGGGGGTAATGAGGAGGGTATGGCTGGATGGGGGTACAGCGGGGGTATGGCTGGATGGGGTATGGGGGTGTGACAAAGTGGGACTGTTCTTAATGTTTCCTCTGAATAGTGTGGGGGTGCCTCAGTTTCCCCTATGCAGTTTTTAAGTATCTAGATGGTGGGGTAAGGGTGTATGATCCTTGCAGAGCCCTAGAGGGCAGGTGTGTGCAGGGGTCTGGACATAGAGAATGGCCGACACCCTGTTTCCTGGCCACTGATGGCCTGACCCTTCCCCCCTGCAAGGTGAGAGCTAAAGGGTTGGAGAACAAAGGGATCAGGTGACCTCCTGGCCAGGGAAAGGGACAAAGCCCAGAGGAGGAGGGGCTGGAGGGAGTTTCCATTTGGGGCTGGCTGGGACAAGGAGTGAAGGGCAGACATGGTTGTCTGGCTCACTGCCCCCCAAAATGGACCCAGATGAGGGGTCCTGTTCTCTGCACCTACAAGCTCTGTGTTGGACCATGTTCCTGTCGTCTAATAAACCTTCTGTGTTACTGGCTGGCTGAGAGTCACGTCTGACTGTGGAGTTGGGGGGCAGGACCCCCTGGCTTCCCCAGGATCCCGCCTGGGCGGACTCGCTGTGGGAAGTGCACGGAGGGGAAGAGGATGCTGAAGGCTCCGAGGTCAGACCCAGGAAGGTGGAAGCTGTGTGAGCTTTGTGTCCTGCAGACAGTCTGCTCACAGAAAGGAGACTTCCCCAGAGTCCTGACTGGCTTCGTAGGGAGCAGTTCCAGAGCATTGCCCGGGGACTCCATGACAGGGGGGTATG